CGTTTGGTGATTCTGAGTATCAGGTACGCGACCCTCGTCGACACACTCCCAATTTTTACAACGTTGTGGATGAGAGACTTGTGGACGATAAATCCGACACCTCCTTGGGACAGATGGTCGCCCTCCCGGTGGTAGAACAAGTTGCCGGACTCGAGGATTACCGTATCCTCCCCCTCTCTTCGGACCTCGGATAATCCAATAATATGCCAGCGCAACTTGTCTACCTCTTCTTCCAGCTCCAGTATCTTCTCGTCAGTCCTCAGAGTGCGTGCGTTATACGTTGCCCGGTCGAGTCGTCGTAGGTGGCAATGGAACCTCCACCGGAGATTCTTAGCACCCCCTGCCCCGCCGTTACCATGGTCGTCACCATAGCCAGGAATAGCGGGGCCGCCGGGGACTGGGGGCCGTTTTTTTGCGTCGTTATTCATGGAGGGATATTTGCCATAGTTGCCACGCTTAGCGAGCGGGTTGGCAACCGCAGTTTTTTATTATAACACAGTTGTTATCAGAAAGATGCTGCTGCCCATCTCCTGCCTGTCTCCCTCTGTCGCCTCTTACGACACCCACGGGAAGATATGGGGTAGTGGATATTCTCAACCGCCACTACACGGCATGAACGTTACCAACTGCTGCAAACTATTATGATGGGCAAAGTAGGTGGTAAAAGAAGTGTTGGTAGAAGGAAAATGTCCTGGCTCTGTAACATCCGGAAATAGACCAGGATAAAGAAAATAGAAGATCTGTTCAGGCTAGCCCTGAACAATGAAGAATATAGAAGGATGACTGCCGACCTTCAGTAATGGAGAGGGACTTATAGAAGAAGATGCAGTTATCGCTAAAATTTGTGTTCCTATTTTGTCCTGAGACATTATGAACACTCGAAAATGAAAATAAATTACAGATCTCCTCAAAGTATTCAGAGCTGTTGGATTTAAAGGTTTTACTTTCCGGTTAATTATTAATTGCAACCCTTTTAATTTTTATATGGCTCCGAAAGTACTTAGGGTTAGCGGCAATTATTGATTATATTTATTTTGTGTATATATTACAACAATCTAAAGTCATTTTGTCGCATCTAGTCTTTAACATGTCCAATGTAATTGCATCCATAGGATTCCTGTATTTTAAACGTATTATTTTGTGGTATTTTTACTTTAAATTTCATAAAATTTAAGTAGGGGTAGAGCAACTTTTTTATACATGTTTATGGAACATGTTTTAATAGAAGTACGAATGATTGTGTAGAATTTATCAAGAAGATCATCTAGGCCCTAATAACGATCTTGAAGAATATGAAATCTTTTCTGCCTATTTACATATAGATACATTAAATTCACAATAGAAAGTCTATAAAAACTAAGATCACGATAGGAATGTAGACATGGCTTAGCAAACCTAAGTAGTCTAGTCTCTATCTATGTAAGGTTTCAGGTATGTATATCAAAGTCTACAAAGGTATATAAAAAGTACTCTGTGATATGAGGTCTAAGCAGGGCGACTGAGTCCAATCTGGTTCTGCCTCTCTTTGAACGCTCTCAGTACTTTACTGGAGGGTTCCGGGAGGGGATTTCAGCTTTGGAAAGGAGGTACAAAAATGAAACACCTTTTCTATATGGATGGCCTCAAGTTATTAGCCTCCTGTCGCTCCCATCTTGTGGAATTGCTAAACATCACCTGTAAATTCAGAAATTCTATTGGAATGGAACTGGGGACGGATAAGTGTTCGGTCCTCCATGTTGAAGGGGGAAGGGTTGCTAACTCTGAGGGCATAGACTTGTCTATGCCCATCAACTTAAGGACCCTTTTCAAGGCTGAAACATACCGATACCTGGGTATGTCACAGAACATCGGTATCGATGAGGCTGGTATGAAACAGTTGGTTTGCGACGTGTTTTATGCACGCTTGACCAAAGTGCTTAACAGCCTTTTGTCCGGTGTGAATAAGACACACGCATATAACGGTTAGGTCATGCCTGTCCTCATGTGTACCTTTGGCATACTCAAGTGGATTCAGACTAAACTTAACGCCCTGGATAGAAAAGTCCGCACTACCATGACGCCCCATAGAATACATCATCCGTGATCGTCGGTAATGAGGCTATACTTGTCGCAAAAGCATGGTGGGCGTGACTTTCTGAGCGCGATCACCATACATAATCGCGAAGTGTGCAGCCTCCGTCATTACTTCCTAGCAAGATCGGATGATCCATTCCATAATGACGTCATTTCTAGTGATAAAGGGCTTACCCTTCTATCCTTAGCCAACGAGCAATGGCAGAACCCAGCAGTATAAATCATTTCCGACCGGAAGACCGTATTGAAGGAGAAGGAGCTCCACGGGAGGTACTACAGGGCTCTACATGGGCCCCACGTAGATTCAGTCGCCTCCCTCCACTGGCTTCGTTTCGGTGACCTCTTCGGGGGAACCGCGGGTTTTACTGTGCAATATAGGATCAGGTTATTAACTTATTATTTATTATTCACTTGTTATTAACTATATATAGATATAAAGGAACAACTATTTGAGATACATCCTAAAATATGGCACCGTCGATGTCTGTCGAGCTTATCGCCATACCGGTGAGTCATTTAGGCATGTCATCTCCGATTGTTCGGCGCTTTCTAACTCTGAGTACTTGCAAAGGCACAACCTAGTAGCCAGGACTCTACACCAGGAGCTCGCTCTGAAATACGGTCTCGTCGATCGGATACTGCCTTATTGTAAGTACTTACCGATAGCCGTGCCCGAAAATGACCACGCCAGGCTCTACTGGGACCGGGCCATCATCACAGATAGGACTATTCTTGCGAATAAACCTAATATTGTGCTGATGTACCAGGTACAGTCAAGGATATTTATCTTTTCATTTTTATTTATACTTATATATTTATAGAACCCAACCAGATGAGAAAACTATATAGATACCCCACATAAATAATAATAATTTTGTTATTTTCTTTTATTTTTTAATGATATTATAATCATTTTAAACTATAATATATTATAGCGCACAACAGCCCGCGTTTATTGAGACAACTTAACGATCGCAGCCTCTCACTTATCTATATTTCTGGGATAATAATTTCTACGGCGATCGTTCTCCTGTTCTCTAAAACCTCCATGGTCTAAGTTCTCTAACCTCCATGGTCTAAGCCATGAAGGTGTAATAGTGGTGATATGAGGTCCACTATTAACAGACTCCGAGTGGTTTAGTGGCGGAGAAATGAAACTATTTTTTGATGTGCACAAGAATGGAGTATGGAGTATGGAATATATTTTTTGGTCAACCCTGCCTATATTTATATGTCCGGCTACGTCGTTAGTTTACCAATAATAACAATTTTTATTTGCCTAGCCAATTACATTTCATACATTATGACCAATAAAGATTAATCAAAAATACAACTATTATGTACGCTCCATTTGCCGGCGTGAGATTCGTGTATAGCTTCTCGTAGCTGCGTTGCTGGACTGGGCTATAAAAGTGGTGCAGACCGGCGCGCCCACGTAATTGGCGAGCGGCGGCGGTGCAGCTCGCTTCTTCTTGCTCCGGAACAGCAAAAAGAAGCGAGCTGCGGCGTTGAAAAAACGGCTAGAAAATGGTAGAGGGGTGTGAAGACGATGTGGCGCTGATGATATTTGCGGCTGTTTCTTGTTTCTATATTAGAACGTTAAATATATACGTCAAATTATCTCGCATCGATATGCAGCCCACAGTATCTCAGTAGCCGGTGATAATTAGGAAATAAATGTTGTCTTCAGACCTTCGCCTTCTGTGTTATGGTAGCAGCAGGGTATATATTATTTATTGCCGTTTAGGGTTGATTAGCCTGGCTGCTACAAAGGTTAGAGAACAGGAGAACGATCACTATGTACTAAAGCATAGCCCGCCTGTCCTTGAAAATTGTAGAATTTATAGCGACGCTGACGTTGGTGAGTAGTGACTGCGAAGTTAGCTGTTTATGAGTAGAAGTATTTGAAATTAGTTGAATAATGTACAAATTTTCTCCGCGGCATTGGTGAGAAAATTTTCATGCTCCGTAATTTTGTAATTTTTGACAAAAAGAAACATTAAAAAATGGAGAAATATTTTATTGTGCGTGGATGTGCAAGTGGTTTAGCATCTGATCGGAAAAATAGTCTGCAAATGATTTTTATTGACCGAACTTAGCTATCGCAGCGCCTCACTTATGGTATCCATATTTCTGGGACACTATTTTCTACGGCGATCGTTTTCCTGTTCTCTAACCTTCATGGTCTAAGTGAAAAAAGACAAGTGTCGGGAGTTTTGGCGGGAACTTTGCCATAGACGGATTGTCGCTCCTGTTTTGTCACTTAAATAATGGTTTGAAGTGGATTTTGATTCGTAAAAGTGATGCAATTTTGTGAATTAAGGTCCGCGCGTGTCAACTATTAGAGAAACGACGAAACAAGTGCTTTAATGTCGTTCTAACCCTTAAGTTATTTAAAATTCTAAAATCATGAACTTGAGTGGCTGTCGTCATCAATTGTCCGCCATGTTGAGCTGTTGTCAAAATCGCCCTAGGGCTTCGCAATGTCACGCATCAGCATATTGTGACGAAAAAGAATATAAAAATGAAGATTCCGAAAGAAATGATAGGCTCAGAAGGGCTAGAACCCAGAGCCGTAAAGCCAGCTAATAAAGACAAGTGTCAGACTGACAGGTGTTGGAACCGTTCTTAAACTACACATTCAGAATTTTGAAAATTCATAATAAATATTTATGAAACTATTTAAAAATAATAGGTAGTTCATTATATCTATTATTATATCGTATATTAATTGTGTATTTGGAATATAAAAACAATTTACTTATTGCAATATCCAAAAATGTTATTAAAAATTAATTTATGCGCTTTTGTTTGTTGTTATTTTGAACGCAATGTGTCTACTTTTCATTTATCAAAATATTGTTACTGAAAAATTTCTATGTAATAATAAATGTAGGATTTAATCAGAAATAATATTCCCCAATATCATGGAGGATGAAATTGATGAATGTATCAGAAATCGAATAGAGTGGCCACAACTACCTATAGGTGTAAAGAAGGTAAAATATTTCGTAGCAGGAGTTATTTTACCTCGTTTATCTATTCGATATTTTTACAATATATACGTAGGGCATGGCTTTTCGAAAAGTTTATTGGTTAAACATTTCTAAATGTTTAAACAAATGGCTAGGTTATTAGCAGTAATATTTTTGTCAATTGTTTATATTTGGTGTAAATATTGTAGTTACAATGACTTATTGATTAATGAGTGTTACATATCTGAAGTTATTCTTGTTGCAGCTATTGGGTGATTCTCCTAAAGAATATGAAAGATACATTTTTGAGTTTAGTATTAAAAACCAACTGCGCTACAGAGGTAATCTTGGTAAGTTATAACTATAAAACAATTATCGAGTAATACTTATTTGTTTAATATTTATTTTTCTTAAATGTTTTACATTTCGCACATAGGATAATGTATATAAGTAATCGTAAGAATATGCAGTATTGTGTTTCTGTTTGAAATAATAGAGTGCTGATCTAATTATAGACTGTGGTGTTCCTTTTTAATCCTTACAGATAACCTGATATTGTCTAATCAACCATAAGCTTTCCAGTACTGCGGCCATGAATTCATGCTTCTATTATGTGACTGTTGAGTACCAAGTGCATGAATTCATGCAGCTGTACCACACTGCTATTTTTGTCAAATATTATAACAAGACAGTATATTTTCAATTAAATACTATTTTATTCGATTCTGAACAAACTTAAGAGTATTCTCAAGTACTATACTCACTCGATTATATAGACAAAATCAAAAATAATAAACATTTACTTTCTCATTGTTGGTGCTGTTAGTTTCATAATTGTTTTCTTTATTTATTTGTGATTTTAGTTTTTCTTTCAAAAAATGCTAATTAATGTTAATTTTCTTTACTTAATAAGTTAACTAATTTACTTTACACCAAAGTAATTATTTGTGTTTCAATTGATATAAAAGTTTGATAAAAAACAAAAACCTCTATGGGATCAAGTCATAATGGTCAAGATCTCAAATACTATAAAATAGCATATTTCTTGTTGTAGTAGCATACAGCAAATATTTTTTCTCTATGATTTTTAATTTCACAAAAAGGTTTAGAAAATGAGGTTACAAAGAGTGCACAAGCTGTTTATTGTTGGCAAATATTTGCGAGTGAAAAAGTAGAATTATTTAGATGATTACATACATCATTTCGGTTTATTTTAGGAAAACCATGTCATACAGCTTGCGAGGACATAAAAATGAAATGTAAACTTACACTTTTTCATTCATAAAACCAAATTTATTGTGTGTGTTTAGCAGAAAAAGTGCTACGAAACGCTTGTAAGAAAAATGGTAAAACTATACAGTTTTCAGCCAGGACATGTTTGCTAAGTTCAGTAGCACTGACACAATCCGCCATTTTTTCTTATTTGTTTTGTTTGTTTTGAAGTAGAGTTTGTAATTTGTTTTGTGCAATTAGTTTCAAGTGATATAATGATATGAATACACATATTATACATGTTATTAAAAATTCATGATTGGTAAGTTTTTAATATGAATACAAACATATATTTAAATTAGGTTAGGTTCCCCGGTTATAGCTAACTTAGTGTCCTAGAGAAAAAGAGCTATTTACCATTTGACAGCGCGTACCGCTTACGATCGCCATTTTGCTTATAAGCACTTCCTAGTGCTTTTTTCTGTCAAATACAGCCATTGTCAGGAAATACACTTTTTTACGATCCTCCGTCAGAAACAAAGAGCTATGCAAAACTGAATAAATATCTAAATGTTATTGGTATTGTTCCTACTTATGGACAAACTTATCCCTTTTCAAAACTGTAACTCACACCTCTTATAACATAAGGAAACAGTCATCAGAAATATACATGTTAAAACAAGTGCCACAAAGGAGATCAAGGCCCCCAGTACAAAGCCGTTTTTATTATACCCGGCACAGTAAAGTAAAGCTGATAGCTTTGCTATGATTCTGGGCTCAAATCTCGGCCTATGATATCTGTTCACAAATCATTTATAATTTGGGCAATGGGATTTTAAGGTAAACAGCAACATCAGTATAATATGTAAAAATATATTACTGTCACTACATCCCATCAGAATTCCACTGCCAAACATGGACCTCCCCCATATATTTCTGTAAAGTACAGTCTTACAGTCCCAGTACAAAAGTATCATTATTGTCATTATCTAGTAATAGGCTGCTTATAGCTGATACGCCTGTATCTGTGTTGGTCTTTTATAATAGTCCAAGTCTACACCAAAAATACACTAAAATTGATTGTCTGCACCAATCAGTTGTGTACTATGGTTCTGTTAATGGGAGCTAATAGTCTTCTACTCACCAAATGTACCTAGTCGGGACTGGGGTGAAGTTGCATTTTACTTAAATGCTTTTTTGTATGTATGTACACTTGTGTATGTATGTGATCTGCTCTATATCTTTTTTGCACATTTTGTAATTTTAATTTTTATTTACTTCTTTCAGGAATACTGTTTCTTTGATTTATCCGTTTTTAATTTAATTTATATATTATGTAGTATTATATAATGTTAACTAGCTTGCCATTGCAAACATTGTTCTGCCCTTTTCGACGACCCTTTGTCACTCATGGAAAAAAAGCTATCCTATCACTCAAGTTAGACCAAACTGCACACGGTGCGCAAATTTGATTAAAATCGGTTAATTAGTTTAGGAATCCATCGCGGACAAACAACTTGACACATGATTTATATATATTAAGATATTTCAGGTAGAAACATTTATTTCCACTCTTTTCTAAAAAATTTACTTTTGTGTTATAAAATCTGTCAATATTTCATTTTATTTTAAAGAATGCTACAAAGTCAAAGTCTGGATACCCTGATTTATGACATGTTATTCTGTCATTTTTATTAAAATATTTACCTATTGGCAAAAATATATACATTTCAATATATACCATTACCATTACAGTCTCATATTAATTCCACTGCTGAACCTAGGCCTTCCCCATAGATTGTTTCATAGGGGGATATTTGCCATAGTTGCCATGCTTGGCAAGCATAGTAACTGTTTTGTTATTTAGTATATAAACAAAATGTTTTGAATATACATATAATGTAAGAAATTTCTTGCAGTGCGGACAGTTCGAAAAGATGAGAGAAAGTATTATGAGGTCCTTGTGCAGGGCAGTATACAGAGGCTCATGCTCTATCCCTATCACCTAGCAGATATGATTGTGAAAGGTAACATAGAAAACTATTGAGCTTGTCTAATAAAATATGTTGGTGACTTTGTAGTTAGTGATCAATTTAACCAGTGAACGCACAGCAGATTGGGTTTAGAACCTAGTTGCCATCATTTAAAATATCTATCGACATTTTAAGTGCTATTTTATCACATGCTATGCGCTAAAGGGAAAATTGTTAAAATGCATGTATGAGAAATATTTTTAGAACATACAAAGTCAGCTTATTCGCACTGGAGTAGTGCAGCAGAATCATTCAAACTCTATTACATGTTACTTTCTGAGAAATACTAGCAAGCCTGTGCCCAGTAGTGGGGTGTACATAAAGTGTACATAGGCTGTTACTTAATTTTTTTTTACTTAATTATTGTTAATTAATTTTACTTATATATATCATGGAATTTGTCAACATAATATTATATACCTAAAATCATTTTCCCAGTAGACCAGCCACTTATGGTTTTTTGTCACATGTATTTGTTATTAAACTGAAGCTCCTTGTTGCAGGGTTACGAATAACTCCATTTATATACTATGTGGAAGTAGTCGCCCTTTTGATAGAAATGGAGAAAAGCTATGATACAATGCCCAATTTTACAGCTGCTGATTGTGAGTAAAAACACAAAATTTTAATCAAGTCAAATCAATCTATAAATAAAATGTTTTGAGTAAATTTTTTTATTTAAAAAATACTAATCATGAGCCTTTCTCATTTTGGAGAGAGGACTTGGATTGCCTCACCACTTTTACCTTTGTTGCTGCTTTTAGTTGTGGGTCTAGAGATTTTATAGTTGTTCTTGGTTCCCTAAATTGTCTTTTATCAAATCATTGTAATTGATATTAATGAGAAAGCTGCCAATCCTGCCAGTAAGTAAGAATTTACTAAGACATTCAAGGTGTGATCTAAAAAGGCGTTCAGGGATTTGATGCGGGGATTTCTAGATGGTAGGACGCTTCTTTTGCCCAGAAGTCTGTCTGGCGAGGTTACCTACTTCTTACCTGCTTTCTACCTCCAAAATAGTAGTGCTGTGTTTCAGTCGGAACTAAATAGAGAACCAGTATAATAACAGGCTGTTTCCATCTTAATCCTCAGAGGTGACAATGTATCTGCACCCTTATCTGTTTCAAGTAGATTGCAAGTGTAGGCTGCAGTATATATTTATCATCAGGCAGGCTGTAAGTTAGTCAATTCAATTTTATAAAAAAATGGCTGAGTGATACTTTGTAGCAGTCTATGGTCACATGAGTAAAAAAAACCGACCAGAGGCAAAGGATTATACAACCGCGCTATGGTAGGTAGACTACTACAAGCTTAAGGCGCGTGTGTGCGTGAGCACTGGCGGCTCGTCTCGTACAGAGAGAAACTGCTTTAAACCAGTTCGGCTAGTGCTCAAACTCGGTGTAGGTACACGTCGCGCATCCGCATCGTCGTGTTTTCGTTTCACATTTAGATTAAAAATAACAAATGAGTAAAAAATAAGTGTTATTTTTAATGTGGTAGATAGATACTTATCTCATAAATATATGTCAACAAAGTTATAACATTTGTTGAATTGATTGAGAGCAAAAATTTCAAGAATACATATTTTGATTTCATAATAATCATTGTTAATATTGATAGTGAAATATTAAAATGTGTGTAAGCTTGTATATGCCGTGTAAGAGCTTTCTATTAGATTATTTACAAGATAAACTTTATATTATTACATTTAAAAACCATTCAACTAAAATGCACGACATATTATTCAAAAACAAAAAATATTCAAGTAGCTTGTAAAAAAATATTTTATCATAGGTAGGTACATAATAAAAAACATTTTTAATATAATTAGGTACAAATAGTTTGCTATCACTCGACGCCATATTATGGCGTTTGACAGATGCGCATATTACTTGAGACGCCAGAATATGGCGTTTCGACAGACGAGGGGTTATATTATCCTCCTGTGACAATCCAACCAAAATAGGTAAAAATGTTGAACTCTTCTTATAAGGTTTGCTTCTGGTCGGTTTCTTAACTCACGTGCTATGGAGGAGGCCTAATGAACTTGTGAAGTCTTATAAAATTTTCAACATGTTTTAGTTCCCTATCTACAATTTCAATACATTTTCAGGTCTTCGTCTGCTCGGTATTGGGCGTAATGAATATCTAGAGCTTATAGCTAAAGCACGATCATTAAGAAGGCGTGGACGGTCCAAGGCGATCCGTGCGCTTCTGCCCCGAGTTCCTCTCAATATACCCATGCTGCCCTGGTGGCGCGTTGAGTTAGGTTATGTCCTTGAAGAAGATGTAAAGGTGATTTTTAACCAAACTGTGCAAGTTTTTTGGTCTTTTTTATTTTGCTGTACTAACTTTCTTAAAATTACTAATCTTTATATTTTTTAATTCGCCATCATAATTAGTATTAGTAATCCTTAATATTATGCTTATTGGTGTTAATTGCCATATTTTCCAAGTGAATTTGCGATTGATTCTTGGCATGCAATTTGAGTCTGCAATTGAAATATTTTCCTTATTGTAATTATACTAAGAATTTTATACTTAAAAACAATAGGAACAGTTCATCATCATCATCATTACATCCACACACAAGTCCACTACTGAACTTCAGAGAGGCATCACTCAATAGATTGCCACTTGCATTCATCGTGAGTATAGTTTGGACAAGGTTTCCTTATCCTTGATATGTTGGACAATTTACTACTGACAAAAAAAATAAGTTGTCGTCGTTGATCGTTGTCAAGATTATTCATAATTTTCATTAAACTATAAACTTAAATTTTGAACAAAATAACATATTATTTTCTTACCACTCAGTGTATTATGTACTCATGGTCTCTGAGGTGATCCATGTTACATGTCCTCAGGGGTGACACGCACCTATAATCTTAGTTTCAATTTATTTCCAGTTATCCATGGATATACTAACTTAATATACTATAGTAACGTCTATTACTAAAAGTTGTGTGTACCTTTGATATGATTTAAATTCAATATGATATTGTTAATCAAAAATTGCTTATATTAATAAACGATATTTTTGTTTCTTTGAAAATAAACTGCAGCTTATTAAAATGTTTTTTTTTTAAATTTTACTGTTTTTAATAACTCCATTGCTATTTTGCATCAACCTGCTTGTACATTACAGCCTCTATGTGATAGCGAGAAGGCGTTAATTGATTTACTAATAGACCGCGGGTCGCAAACTGCTGGTACTCTGGACTACAACGTCGTCAAAACATTGTATAGGTGAGATTTTATAAGTACTTATGTGAAAAGAGTTAGTTTTTGGTCGCAAAAATTGTTTGTTTGAATTTTGTATCAATATTATATGAATGTTTGAGGCAAAAGGTGACAAAGCAAATTTACGCTCCGGAAGTGAATGGCAGAGTCGGTAATGGTCAACTTAGTCAATAAACTTCCATCTTCGAAATTTATCAACCGAGTTTGCGATTTATTTAAGATAGGCTAATTCAATTTATTATAAGAGGTGTAATACGTGCCCCCGAACTTTATAATACCTTATGCAAGATCTATATGCCTGACCACTACTTGAGATAGGCCACCTCACCGGCTTAGATTATTCGCGACGACGTCATCGCGCACGCTGTCGTGCGCTAATTCCCCACTATGTCGAATGCACAGCGCAATCAACACTCTTCTGAGGGCTGCATCCAACTTCGATATATTTGCGGAATGTGCTGTTGTCAGCTTGTTTACGATTTTGCGAAAGTGATGATATATAATTTATATTTTTTCTCTTAGCATAGTTTATACTCATGTCCCTTTTGAAATTATTAATTACTGTAATTGGATTAAAAACCGTTGTAATTAATTAAATAAATAAATAAAATAAATTAAGCATACCATTATTTGACGATCATGTATGAGTAGATATATGGATGTGAAAAAAGCGATAACTCTCTCGCTTTTTTCATTATTGTGTTTTTATCAGTATTGTGCCAAATGGAAATCCGTAGTCTGCCTACCCTCAGGGTGACAGGTTGATAGGCGGGAGAGATTATGTATGTAAGCATGCAAGTATGAATGATTAATAAATGAATTAAGGATGCTTCTAAATTAAAAATCAGGTGGGAGTCAATGTGTGCATATGTGTAAGTTTGTGTGAAATATTTAAATGCGATTTTAAGAGAGTAAAAATATGCGAGAGAGAAAAATCTCAAAAAAGCATTATGTATTTATTTAAAATTAAAAAGCTCTTAAGTTTATTTGTTTTAGTTATGTATGTTTGGCTACAAATGCCTTTCCAAAATAGTTTCTTCACTGCTATGTTTATCAACCTTTTAAGAAAATTTATTTTTCGACACAGACCTGACTCCCTTATAGTTTGTGATCTAGACATAAGTTTAATTGGTCCTTGCTGATACTTTATTATTGATCTAAATGAAAAACAAATTGCTTTTAGACGGGGCTTGATCTATCTGGACGTGCCGATCACGGCTGCGGACAAAGTGTCTGTACCGCCACTGAAGGGTTTCGTAATGAACCGAATCGCAGGCGACTACTTCGAGACGTTACTCTATAAGGTGTTCGTATCTGTGGATGAGCACACGAGCGTCGCCGAGTTAGCAGCGGTGTTACAGGTGACGTCTCGGTTTTCTAATACAATATGCACATGTATCATTAGACATAAGAACACATAAACAGCTAGTTCTTAGTGCATATTGGTGCTGAAACTAACATTATCATTATGTAAAATTCAAGTCATTAAATTGAAGGTTTTCAAACATTTTAAGCTACAAAATTGTTAAGTTCCCTGTCTATTATTTTTTACTCCTCCCATTTTCCATCAGCCTGTAGTTTGCTTAATATAAGCAATCATCGCACTAGGGCGTAGCAGACGTAGAAGATTGATCGACCGTGCGAAAAGTATAAGGCTATTTCTTGTCACCAATCTGAATGTATTAAATTTCACATAGGTTATAATTCCAACTTCAAAAGGATTCTCTTCAACACAAACGAAATGAACCGTCTTGTGCAGAAATGTTTAAAAACATTCAATAATTCAGATTTGAAAGATAAATGTATTTTTCTTGTGGTGTTTTTCTTTTGTGTCATGTAGTATATATCATTTCAAAGAAAATTGAAGGTAGATTTTGGGATAACTTGCTATTTTTCGTAAGTTCTTTATACTCGAAAATAAACTGATAGAAGAGCCTCTGGATCATTAATTTGACCAGTATGTGGGTTAGATCATTTCTGCACAATATAGTCCTAATTAAATTTTTCACACGGTGAAAGGTTTACTCATTCGCAAATATACGTGCGTTACAACGTAAAATATAAGAAAATACAATAAGCAGATAGCAATTGGTCACAAATATATGATGCGCTCCCCGATGATGTTATTCTCAAAAATCCTATAAACAAGAACGGTTGCCACGTTACCAACGATACGACTCTTCGCTAGAGTAAAACCTCTTTACCCTCGATCTAACCAGTATTTTATATACATGCCGAAATATATATGATATATACAAGTAGTGTATAAAAAAGTCAAAATCCTTTCGATTCTTAAAGTATTATACGCTCTGTCCAGTATCTAAATGCAATTATCGCCTTCAGGTGGACTGCGAGCTGGTTAAACAAGCGATATCTTTGTACTGTAGACTGGGTTTCGCCAACAACCTAAATCCACCGCCAGTCACTCCGCAGCACCCATCCTGGAAGGATGCCGTCACCACACACAAACATCAACCGTGAGAGGACTACTTATAAATAACATATTGTGAATATTTAAGACATATTAGTCATTTCATATTTTGTGGAATTTAAATCGCAGTTTCTATACCTACAGAACTCTAATTCTGAGCGCTTGATTATTAATTTCTCTGTATAACAACATTTTGAGGAATTCTGCATGCCTGCAGGGTATTTCTATTGTAATTTTACACTACTCGTAATCACTTAAGTTTACATAACCGCGAGCTTTGTTACTTTAAAAATTATGTTTTATTTCATCCTCTTCTTTTCCCCTAATAATTTTTGATCATTCATCTCCTTTCATTAGCATTAATCTGCAACGCAGCTATGTCATTTAATGTACAGTATATAATTATTAAATGTAATAAATAATATACAACATTTACATGTAAGTTAATAATTGTTTAGATACAGACAAATAGCACCCCTGACGTTTGACCCTAATGTAGATGAAGATGCATTACAAATGGAGCCAGTACTTATAAAAGACGCACCGTCCACTTCAAAACAGGTAATTTAAATTGTTGAAATATGTTACGGGTTAACCGTCACTGTGTGATATTATTTGGTCCTTCGAGCCGGTTTTTAATTGTATACTTATTTTCAGAGTTCCCACGATATATGTGATAATGCAACAAACAACAGCGGCCAAAGAGTGGCAGTTCTGTTTGATTCAACTCTTGCTGCGTATCTTATGATGGGTAACCTATCACCGGTAAGTTATTTTGCGTAGTGTAAGTTATCTTAATTTTATTGTAAGTACGGTAAAATAGCATGTATGAAATATGTATTTTCTGTATTACGATTATATACAGGATTATTTTGCAATAATCGGCCAAATTTGCAGAGAAGGTTCAGAATAAATAATTTAGATAAACGGTGAAGAAAAAATACTTAATAAATCTCAAACATTTTGTCCTTTTTACTTTTAAATTCAAAATGTGTGGTAATTCATTATTTTAAGTGACTTTACTGCGCACGCATTCGTAAGTGTCGATCGGTAGGCAAAAAGATGGTTGCCCATAAATGACATTCAGTTTGGGATGATTTCAAATAAAAGTAGATGCCTTATTTACTCGTATTTTCAAAAACTGCAATAACGGTGTATATATATATATATATAGTTTTAAATTTGGCTACTCTTTGAAAAATAACCCTGTATAATATGAGAATTATATTTTGTAAATTTATAGGTTTAATTTAAAAAATATAATTTATTTTTTAAATTTATAGGATCTTAAGAGTCATGCGGTGACGCTGTTCGAAGTTGGAAAATTATGTGATGAGAGCTTAGATAGTTTACTTATGGAGTTGGATAAGGTACGTAAGGCGTATTTTTTGTTATTTTGTAGTCATTTTAGTTTAAGTATGAACGTCTCTTTTGTTGAAAGCACCATATTATAATATCTTGTGAACATGCATTTTTAAGACTTAAAGCCAAAAATAATAACTTGTGCACATCAATTACGGGATGTGGCTTTTAAGTCACACTGCAGCTATTATGGCTTAGCATGAATGGATCGGCTTGATCGGGGAAGGACACGCTCTCACCAAATACCAGCGTAAAATAGCAGCTTAATGCTGCTGTGTTTCGTATGGTGAGTGTAGAGAACCGGGGCCCGTTTTACTGGAATCGAGGCATTCCATCTTAGTCCTCAAGGGTGAGACAACGCATCTGCATTTTTATTCTTAATCGAGGTTAAATGTAAATGTCTATGGGCCACAGCATTCACTTAACTTCAGGTGGACTTTGTGCTCGTTTGTCACCCCATCCTATTAAAAAAAAATTTCAGGGCATATGAACATGAACTTGTTGCCAGTGACGAAGCTAGGGCTCCAAACCGGAGCGAGCCCAAAATATGGTTTTGTTGTTTTTAGCAGTTTTATAAAATACACCAATCTTGATCTGTCTCCACTCTTCAGTTTCATATTCAGTGCTGTCGAGGACGTGTTTAACAAAGCACACAGAAGGCATACTGCTAGATAGATTGTATGACATATCAGCAATTGCATACCTTCGGTGGCTTTGAAAAAAGCCGTTTGGGTTTTTTTTGAACGAAAGAAAAAGATATTTACTTAAAATACTATACATGAAGAAAGTACAAACGAACTATGTACAAAATTAAAAAAAATATTTATATTCTAAATTGAATGGTCACTCTTTCTTAAGGAAAGATTTGATTACGTCCGCGTAATAATTGTACTAATAACTGTTTTTCAATTGAGATTATTGATAGGTTCGAAAGAGGCTCTTAAACTTGTGTATTTTCTCAACAAAGTTTAAAGATTTTACCCTTTCCTCGCCGATTAGCACTTTGAAACACTTCAATTCATCACAAGGAACACTATTATCCTCTATTTTCACTAAAATCTTTGAAAAAGCATACATTTTCAACAGACACAACAAAAACAAACAGAGTAGGTAAACATTGAAATATAAAGTGAACTTGCAAACGTATCGCCCGCGCGCCCCAGCACTCGGAAACAACTTCAGAGCAAAGCCCTGCTTTTGGTTTCATAGTAATTGCTATATAAACATTTCGTAGTTATATTTCGTTATAGAACATTTGCCACAGGTTAGAAAGGGAGCGATCGTCTTCTCGAAACCCCTTAAAAAGCCCTCACGTGCGAGAGAGACGACTAATCGCTCAAATCAACTCCTTGCTTTCATTAATTTTGACAGTCCATTGTGTTCGCTTTGAGACAGAGAGAACAGGAATCAGTGTATTTGGAATGGAAAGCAAGCCGCCAAATGTTGACGTTACGTATTTATATGCTACGAGGTCATGACCTGTGTAGAACAGAGGAGCGCGCGGGAAATTTGAAATAGTTTGAAACAGTGTACAAGTTATTTTATTAGTTGATATTATTGATTGAGCAGTTTGAAAGGGCCAGCCTGACTTTGGCTTCTATGGAGGCTTCGCCGCTGCTTGTTGTCTTTTTTTCGGGTTTGAGGGCTGGTGAAATTTATTACATTTTGGTCGCAGACTCAATAGTCATGCTTAATTATTATTTGCTAATTGTATTGGGGGCTATAATGAAATATTATTATATTAGTAGCGTGACTGAAATGACGCTAATTTTGAATTTGTTGTTAATTACATTTTCAATGTTTTATTTATTGCTTGTTTTAAATGTAAATTGAATGAAAGCGACGAAAAGACCTATTAAAAAAGCAAAATTAATAATATGTAGGTAATAGATTTATAACGTGTTTCGACTACAAGTGAATCCATGTTGGGTGTTTTCGTAAGGTTGAAAAAGTATTTTTGTAACAATCTGTTTCAGGTCGTCGCTGATCCAGAAATTGAGGGCGAAGCCCGACGGTACCTAGCAGCCGCCGCGTGCCTGCGGATAGCACTACGTACATTAAGACCGAGTCTTCGTCCTCTTGATTTGTTGCGATGCGAAGCCTTACATGCACTCGGACCTGCTGCGAGGGCACGTCTTTTTGCTACTAAATATAGGTAGGCTTAAATGTTTTCTAAAATAATGGCAAATGAAGCTGCTTGTTGGTTGAATTCATTCATTCATTACATCCAATCTATAGTCCACTGCTTTTTTATTTTTTTATATTATAAGGATGGCAAACAAGTACAAAGTCCACCTGATGTAAGTGGTTGCTGTGACCCATAGGACATCTACATCTACCCTCGATAACGAGCTACAATGCAGATGCGTTGTCACCCGTAAGGACTAAGATGGGATGCCTCGTTTTCAGTAAGAAGGACCTCCTGTTTCCTACACTCACCAAACGAAAGACAGCAGCGTTAAGCTGCTATTTGACGCTGGTATTCTATGAGAGCGTGATCCTTTCTCGGTCCAGCCGTCACATTCGTGCTACAACTATACCATTAATATAGTTATAGCATGGCTCTATCACGAAACTGCTGAAGTCGCCACCATTGATTTCCTCGTAATGAGAACATTGCCTTAGTAGTCACGCTTGCCAGGTGGTGAGGCAACTACAGTTTTTTTTTAAATATTATCATTATCAATACAATTCTTTCGAATTTCTAGTGTATTAAAATTGATAATAAGCTTATTGGAACTCAGACCGTTTAGCAAAGCACGAAGTGTCTAGGTAAGTCTATCGCCTTAAAACGAGGCATCAGTTATGAGACTGTAGCGATTCTAAATATTGAGGAAATGGTTAGCCAACCCGTTTACTCGTTTTACATTTATGTAAAACTCGTGAACTTAATAATATACACGTGTCAATCATTCGTTTCTAGTGACTTAATCAGTTTAGTACATTTTGTTACGCATACTGGTGCATTCGAATCGATCATTCAAATGGATCATTTCGGGCTCCAGTACTCTTTGAGCCTGTGAGAACCATTGGGAACCGAAAATTTTCTATTTGAGATTTGTAATAGCGCCGCGCCATCTATTACATGCTATAGGGTATAAAGTCATTTTATGGAACTAAAACTTATTTACTTTCAAGGTGGTAATTACAATCGACGCTAGATGGCATGAACACAAAAATCTCAAGTGATTCAATTGATTTGATTTGATTTTGATTGATAACTATTCAAAATTATTATATATTTTAAATTTTAAATATTTAATAAATTTGTTTATTATTAAATTTCATTCCTAACAATACACAATTTCATCTTACTTTACATGTGTAAAAATAGGGATTGTAACATTTATAAATTGCTACAAAATTAAACTTTTACCTATCTTATACTTATATAAGGTGGTTGAAAATTATCACATTAAATAAATCATTTGCCATGAAATCTTCTGAAGTGTTATTTTTAGTAAACTCTACGAAATGATATTTTTAACTCATAGATGTAACAAATAAATATAATAAAATGTAAAATAATTTTTAACTTAGGTAACAATATTATAATAAATAACCCTTAAATAATAAATACTCCTGATATCGGTACTGCATTGTTTATTCGATTCGCCTGTTTATTCAGATCATTCGGGATTCGGTCGGTTTGCGGCTCATTCACAATTCAAACAAATCGCGGGTTAAAAACGTACCGTCAATTGTTTGTGATTGGTTGTACTGGTACATTCAAAAACAAATGAATGAACCATCAATACTTTTAAGTATACCAGCTCATACGAACGAATCATGCATAATTGACACATGTCTACTTATAGTCAACCAAATCTAAGAAATACACAGCTGTCAGACTAATTGCACCAAGTATGCCAACTAAAAAATGGGAACGTACAATATTCGATTCTTAAAAAAATCGATATCTATTATTTAGAGTTGGTAATCAATTACAGTTTGGTTTGAATAATACCAGAATAAATTATAAACGGATAATTTAAAAAACAAGATTTATCAGTTTCTTCGTATTTGTTGTTACTGCTTATTCTATAGGCACAGTTATAAAAATTTAGATTGGACTAGATAAAAATAAATTTATTCAATCACTTTGGTAGGGATGTCGTTTATATTAATTATTATTTAATTTTCAATAGTGCAGACAAAATTAATGTCTCTTTCAAAGTCATACATAATCAGTTTTTTTTTCTACCACTTTTGGCCAATCATCCTTTGTGAGATGGGCACATGCTTCAACATTTTTTTTATAGCATTGGGTGACAAACGAGCACACAGTCCACCTGATGGTAAGTGAATGCTATGGCCCATAGACATACACATTTATCCTCAATTATGAATCAAAATGCAAATGCGTTGTCACGCCTGAAGGACTAAGATGCCTCGGTTCCAGTAAAACGGGTCTCCGGTTCTCTACACTCACCATACGAAACACATCAGCATAACACTGCTATTTTACGCCGGTATTCTGTGAGAGCGTGGTCCTGCCCTGGTTGAGCCATTCGTGCTACAACTATAATATAGATGTAGCGTGGCTCTACCACGTACAAAAAGTTATTTTAGAAGAAACAGTTCAAAAAGTTAAAGCCGAGTCACAGAATAAGAAGACAAATAAAAAATCACAAAATTACGCACAGTAAGCTCTCGAAATAGAAACAGAAACTTTTTTATTCAATATAGATTATGAATAATACTTATATATTGGCTTATATATACCTATAATATTGGTTCGCATAAAAAACTCTGTGCTGGGAAGAACCAGCAAGAAACCCAACGGGACTAGTTTTTTTTTTAGAATAAGAGCTTATCATATGCGTATTACAATTAACAACACAAAACAAATTAGAAATAGCGTGGTAGCGCCCTTCCCGGGGGTTATTATCATTCATAAATTCCTTAATATTAAAATAACCATTTTTATACAAACTTAGTTTAATAAAGTTTTTTAACTTTGTGTACTTACGTCAAATTTTGTATATTTTCTGGCATTTTGTTGTAAAAGCGTATACATCGCCTCAAGAATGAATTGTGGAGTCGAGTAACTTGTACCGAAATTGCGGGATATTGAAATTATGTAGTGGTTATTTTAGTAGTAGCCGTGTATATGAGTTTTTTGCCTACACAAATTTACTTTGACAAAGTGAAAAAAAAACTTGTTTTATTCATAATTCATGTAATTTAAGGATTTGAAAATAAAAATACTAATTAAACAAATAATACATTAAAGAAATTAATGATTCGATTATTAGAATATTTTTATCGATTATTTGAATATTTTGCCGATTATTCGTATAACAATGATTTATATCAAAACTAAACATGGCGACATATAATTGAAACGATATCAAGTAAAAAAAGTTAATACTGGTTACTTTTTAATATTTTCCTTTGTTTGAAAAATTCAAATTTAAATTAGTGATAAAAAACTATACACGTTGTAACGAAATATAGATAACTTCATAATTCTTCGGATTTACGTAAAAGGTTATTTTAAATCGTGTGAGTACGCTTGTGAAAAGTTATTGCGGAATGATTAATGTGAAACGTCAAAAGGTATTTCTTAGATTTGGTTGACTATAATAGTACAATAGTTGTTTGGCGACGCCAGGCGGAATGTAACACATTCCGCCTGGCGTCGCGAAAAAACACGGTAGAGTTTCGATTGCCTAAACGCTTTCGTGTTTATTAGGTTGTTGGGCTATACATAGCATAGCATTTTTTCTATAGTGAACTTTGTTTCTCATAAAGCCACCCCACACGTATCCGAGTATCCAAATATTCGGAAACGCGTGTTCATCTATCCAACCCAGACAACAGACGGGAACAGATGAATAAGTGTTGGTGGAACATTGGTCTCTCTTACATAGGACAAACAAAAAGATCTATAAAAACCCGCTAGACGGAACATATAGCTGACTGTTCAAGATTGTCCCCACCATTACATTGGATTTGATAAACCACAAATCCTCTCAAAAGAACACCGATTTCTACAAAGGATGATACGCGAGGCTTTTGAAATTTAAAAACATCCTAATTTCAATAGAGAAGATGGATGGGTGTGCTTGGGATTTTATAATTAAGAAAATTAAATCCAAACCCAAGCATACCACTGCAAGACTTCAAGATACTGTGAGCTCGTTCTAAGTAGATCGGACCAAAAATAAATATTCCAAAACTGAAGGGAAGGTAGCTCTGCTAACTATGACATGGGACGGCAAACGTCTCAGTCCCCCCGTGACCATGGGTGCTGTAAAGCACTCGAAACATCGTGAATTAAAAATAAGTTATTTAAACGCGATAAAAATCCAAATAAATAGTTTTATTCAATGTGTAGTGTTCGCGTAAATTTAGGAAATCATTAGATGAACAAGTGTTTTGAACTATCTGCTTGAGAGTGGCTGTTTTAGGGAGGTTGAACGTAATAACCACATAAATGTATTAGTTTTCTGAAATGTGACATCACAAATTATTTTTAGATTGGCGATCTCAACTGCACCCTTATCACGTGAAGCTCGAGCTGGTGCGGTGGCTGGGGCACTCCCTCATGTGGGCCCCGCGCCTCCGGAGGCCTCGACCCCATGGATGCGCCTCTATCTGTACCACGTTGCCGGCTACGGACCGCCCACGTTGCTGCTCACCAAAGGTAAAGTCTTGGGCATGCAGCAAAGACAAACTAGGATTATGGGGCAAGATGAGGCAAGTTTTTAAAGAAATTTAAAATAATATCCTCAAGAAACCATAGAGCCAACGGAGCGCAGACATTTGTTATTGCCGCATTAGAGGTGAAAATATGGTATAGCTGTCCTTTCTTCGACGAGGCGGATATACCTTCGCATTTCCTACAGCTTCCTGATTGGCCTGCAACTGGCCTTGAATAACGTAGCCATGTTCCCATCTAAACTCGGCTCTGATGGTGAGACTGCTAAAGAAAACGGTTTGGAGTCAGCAGTATGCCCCTTGATTCTTCCTGATTCTGCTGTCTAGCAGCATCCATCTCCACTTACCTCCAGGTGTGTGGAGAACGCTTTTCTTGGACCCGTGGCAATATCAGCATTCCATTTCTGACACCAATTGTTAGTAAAAAAGGGGAGTAAAAATGCCGATTAGGATGAAAAATGATGTATAGAATACAACTACGTCGTCCAAAATCAGTAAGCTTCTTTTATAAGATCCTTAGTAATCGCAGACGTCGTAGTTCGAGTTTTCGTACTCGTTTCTCGACGTAAAGTTCCCTGTCGCGTTTTCGAAATAACCAACCCTCCTGGCACACGCTTTTATACTTGATAAAAGGAATATAGAATTTTCTAGGCCAATCCAGGTTGTTCCCCTCTTACCACCGAAAACTACTAGAACACTCAAGAACGTAAGTTAAGAATATCTAAAGAATAAAAAGCCTTTATACATGTAGACATAAGGTTGATTTAATGATTTTTGCTGGCATTAATAGTTGGAGCATTGTCTATTTTCATGCTTACATATTTTATTACTTGATCAAGGACACTGACACCTCGCCGGAAACATTCTCGTTCAATATGACGCAATACGCAACTGGCTGTTGTAACACTGCTTATCTGAAATAACCTTCAAATCACGGTGACAAAGTGCGCATATAAATAATGACTGCGTTTTCTTAGTTACGGTTTTACTGCTTCCCTTGCCCTCGTTTAGCGATCTGAACATGTATACTTGAAGTGTTCGGTGTGGTGTAGGCACGGTGGTGCGTAGCGTGCCGCGCGCGCTTCTGGGGTTCGCGCGGCTGTGCGTGTGGTGGTGGGGCGCGGAGGGTGAGGGCGCAGCGCTGCCCGCCGCCGCCGCGCTCGCCGCCGCCAACTCGGCGCTGCGCCGCGCGCCCGTGCTGCTGCAGGCCGCCGCCGTGCGCCACCAGCCGCGCCTGCGCCACCTTGCCTTCCCGCCGCACGCCCATGACGGTAAGTGTCACGCACGCCTCCCGCACACGGGACCTGCTCTCACACTCCGCACACGTCACGAACACGTCCGCGCACACACTCCGCTCACGTCTCGCACACTACCCGTAAATGTCCCACACACTACCAGCACACGTCCCACACGTTCCGCACATACTCCGTACACATCACGACTACAGTTGTTAGTAATTTATTAACAATAAGTAGATTATTATCGATAGAAGAACTAGCCGTCGTTGCAGTTTTGTCCGAAAAATAGAAATCTGGTTATGTAGAACAGCCACAGAGAAAGAGATTTAATGCGTTTCCTATGATCACAACGTAACCTACGTTCGAAGTATCTGCGATCACTTACATCATATAGAAATGTATAGTTTTTTACTAGTTCTATAATTTTTTTATTATATTTGTTGTTCTCTGCCCATGCGTATACTTTGGCGCGTCGCCTTCATACCGACATGTACAGACACGTGCCTGGGCAGTCGAAACATTCTTACAGACAATAATGGCCGGCGCCTTTTCGTGTTTGTGCGGAATACGCTACGTCCACGTACGTTAGATGTAAATACTTCCATAGATAATTTAGAAAGAAAGAAGAAAGAAAGAAAGAAAGACCTTTATTCACTGGAACTGTACACATCACAAAAATAAAATAATAAACAGTTAAAATTTAGCAGATTAATATTACAAGTGATGGGGTGTGTATCGAGCCAGTGAAAAGGTTATGACTCAGTGTAATGCTGCAGGGTAACCTACAGCGCTGATGATGCTGTCATAACCACAGATACACGCACGATCCGCCTGGGTAAAATACGTTTCCGTAATAAATTAAAACTAAACGTTGCTCATCAACATACCTATATATAATTAGTCCTATGTATAAGTACATTAGAGATACACACATACGTAGAAGACATATTATACACATAAATTTAATATATATATATATACTTGGTAAATACACACTAAAAACAAACATATAATGCTTAACGATGCTGGAATAAACATCTGCTGTAGGCTTATGGTTGAGCTTTTTGTAAGTGTAATAAATGATTTTTATAGTGTGATTTAAAATTATACTTTGAATTACACTCACGAATAGGTGGAGGAATGTCGTTCCAGCACCTAGTAGCTATATATTTAAAACTACCTCTAAAAGCTGCAGAACGCAGTAAGTGGGGTTGGCAAGTGGGTTCGTACAGGACCTGATGTTTTGTCGATTTCTCCATATAAGTTTACCATATAAATATAGTGGCGACTTACTCACAACATCAAACAGTACATTAGCTAGGTGTAGTTTCTGCCGCGCTTTCATTTTTAAAATGCCTGCTTAATTGAAAAAAAAAGGTGTTACATGAGACCATTTCGGTATTTAGAGGCAGTATCGGGCACATGCATTTTGTATATGTTGAATTAGACGTTGTGACTTTTCCAAAATACAGGGTCCGTACACTGCAATGCCGTGGTTTAATTTTGATAAAACGAGAGATTCACACAGTCTAATCCTTAAGTCCAGCTGAATATATTCGCGGATTCTTTATAAAACCTTTAACCTATAAAAGTAGTTGCGGACAAGCTCAAGTAAGTGTTTTTCAAAACGCAGTCTGCCATCCATAACTAAGCCGAGGTTACGAGCTTCACTTACACGCTCCAGAGGGACATTTAACAACATGATTTTAGGGTTTTCATTCTCTAAAAAAGTTGTTTGGTTTTTCGATCCTAAAAGCATATACTTAGTCTTAAGTGGGTTTAGAACGAGGGAATTTTTTGTGACCATATTGCAATTCGATTCAGGTCCTCATTGATGTTACTAATTGTAGGATGAAATTCAATCGAATTGCAGGAAAGATACACTTGTAGATCATAAACACTCACGCCTGTCACCCAGAGGGGTAGGCAGAGACTACAGACTTCCATTTAGCACGATCCTGACATACCTTTCTCGCCTCTTCCACATCCATATACCTACGCATACATGCTCGTCGGTTAAGGGTACTCTTAATTTGGCCCATTTTTAGTATATCGCCAATTGGTCGACTAACTTCCGCCTAGGACGTCCCTTTCCGACTCTTCCATTCACTTCTGCAACATATATTTGCTTTGTCAGTCTTTCCGCATTCATTCTTTCTACATGACCAAACCACCGAAGCATTCCTTTCTTAATCCTGGTCACCGCATCATCTTGCAAACCACACTCTTCTTTTATCACATAGTTTCTCACCCTGTCACTCAGATTCAGCCCTAACATACTCCTTAGCGACCGCATTTCTACTGCATTTATTCTACTCTCGTGCTTCTTCTGCCACACCCAACTTTCACTACCATACGTTAAAGTAGGGACTAATACAGCACTGTGAATTGCCATACGTGCCTTTTTTGACACATTCTGACTTTTCACAATAGAGTGTAGAGCCCCATTTACTTTATTTCCTGCATTCACTCGTCGTTCAATATCCTTATCATATCTCCCATCCCTGCTGAATACACATCCCAAATATACGAACTCATCCACTTGCTCAATTAACTCTCCTTCTATTCTTATTTCACATACCGTTTTGCTTTCATCTCTTTCAAAAACCATCACTTTCGTCTTACTTGCGTTCACTTTCATTCCCCTTTCTTTTAATGACCTGTTCATTAATGTAACCATCATTTGCAACTCGGCCGCCGACGACGCAAGTATGACTTGATCATCGGCGTACAAAAGGCATTTGATGGTTAACTCACCCATTCTTAACCCGCATTCTTCAACTTTCAAATTTTCCAAACAGCTGTCCATAAATAGGTTGAAGCAGCCACGGAGAAGCTACACAGCCCTGTCTGACACCTTTATGGATGCAAAACCAGTCCGAGTAGACCCCGTTGATTCTAACACAAGCACTCGAGTCCCTATACAGAGACTTTAATGCCTGTATCAAACCAGCGCTCAACCTAAATGCGTTCAGCGTTTGCCATAACACATCCCTGTCCACTCTGTCATAAGCCTTTTCCAAGTCCATGAACGCACAAAAAACTTTTTGGTTTTTCGCCAAAAACTTCTCCGCGATCATGCGCATGGAAAAGACTTGATCTGTACACCCCATTCCCTTTCTAAATCCCGCTTGCATATCCCAAATTTTTTCATCTGTTTCTTTCATAACTCTTTCAATTAGTACCTTAGCATACAGTTTTCCCACAATGCTAAGAACTTGTAGATCGTCAGCATAAAGGTGGTATTTGCAAAAATGCATGCAATTAGTTATATCAGCAGTGTAAATTATAAATAACAACGGTCCTAAAATAGAACCCTGTGGGACACCTCTATTAAGTGGTCGTTGTTCAGAAACAAGGGAAGACCCATTCGGTTGATTTAATATTACTTGTTGTGAACGACCGCATAAGTAACTTTGAAACCATTTTATGGAAGATATTACGAAACTATAAAACGATAGCTTAGACAGCAGAAAATCTATGTTAATAGAATCAAATGCTCTTGAAAAATCAAGCAGGGTAAGGATCGTACCTCTACCAGAGTCTTGTGATGTAAGATTATTGTCAACCACGTCGAGTAAAGCAGTAGACGTGCTTCTACCTTTTCTAAAACCCGACTGTAAGTCAGGTAAAATATTGTTAGTATCACAAAACTTTTTTATCAATACCGTAAGCATTTGATTTTATTGATAATATAATCTTTGCAACATATTCTTCACTTACATTATGAAGTTTAAATTCATTACACCCAAATCTATGAAACTCATATTCAGTTAAATCAGAAATGGTTAAATTATTATTCCCGGGAACATTAAGAAAATGGTTATTGATTATATTTGGGTCGTCGAAAAACACAGGAAGTGCTGTCGATTGCTTAATGTTGGGAAAGACGGACCGTTTCAAGTTCTTCCACAATAATTTGGGGTGGTTTAAGTTATTATTGATTTGATTATTAAAATATGCTTTTTTTCTGCCAGTACATACTAATGTTTGACAAATGTTTCAACGATTTATATTGAATTTAATCGCTTTCCAAATTAGTTTTCTTAAACTTTGCATAGCTTTTATTCCGAAGTTTCATGATGTACCGAATATTGCTAGTTAACCACGGTGAATTTCGATCACATACTTTCATAAATTGATTTCTTTTATAGGTTTAATTATTTTAAGGGTTGCCAGAATCATCGCATGTGCTCCAAGATCATACACACGGTTTACTTGTATACCCTTGACTTCAGCATCAGTACAGACGAGGTCTATTAACGTCTCGCTGTGAGATGTAAAATGTGTGGGTTCTGTAACATAGTTTCTAAGACTAGTGTAATGTAGAAATTGTTGAAGTCTCAAGGTCATATTATCACTTTTATTAAGAATATTTGTATTTAAAATCACCCAATAACACTACTTTGTCATAACAAGAAAAAGTTGCTAATGAATCAGTGAGAGCGTCAAAGAAAGTATCAACATTTACCCATTGCGGTCTGTAGGCTGTGCCTATTAAAATTTTAATCGAGTTAATGACAAGTGATACCCACATTTGTTCAACTTCACCATTCGAAGAAGGGTGCAAACAAGTACGTACTGGAATACCACTCCTAACATAAAACCCAACACCGCCGCCACGACTCCGCATGGAAGATGGACGGGGAATATGTTTTAGAGTATATCCGGGTATAGACGGTGCACGGCCGGACTCTCCAGTCCTAAGCCATGTTTCATTTATTGCCATTAAATCCGGTGACGAATTTACGTAATAATATTTTTATATCTGTACTGCTGCTGTTAGATATCTATATGCCACGTGGGGTGGCTGCGATGTGAACGCAACTTAAGGCCCTGATCGACGAGCAAGCCTTATCGCTGTCTAGGTGGCTAGCTCGTAAAGCTTGGTGGATCATCGCAAATTTAATAAAAAACTACGGTTGCCAACCAGTAACAACTATGGCAAATATTCCTTCCTATGATGCAATCAATGGGAGAGGCCTATGACAATAGACTTTTGTTAGGTAGTAACGGAAAAAAGGGGGTTCTTAAGTTTAAATAGGTGCGTTATGGGTGTAGGGGCGGAGGCGGAGGCGCAGTCGCTGTGGCGGACGCACGGCGGGCTGCGGCGGCTGGCGCGGCGCCTGCGCCTGGCGCGCGCGGCCGGCTACGTGGCGCTGGCTGACATCGGCGTGCCCGACCTGGGCTGCGCGCGCCCGCCGCCGCAAGTGCAGCTCGGTACGTTGCTATGGGTGTAGGGACGGGGGCGGGGAAGGAGGCGCAGTCGCTGTGGCGGTCGCACGGCGGCTGGCGTGCCCGACCTGGGCTGCGCGCGCCCGCCGCCACAAGTGCAGCTCGGTACGTTGCTATGGGTGTAGGGGTGGGGGCGGGGAAGGAGGCGCAGTCGCTATGGCGGTCGCACGGCGGCCTGCGGCGGCTGGCGCGGCGCCTGTGCTTTGGAAAGGTTGAATGGTTTCAAAGTTTATAACGAACATATTAGATTTTATTTATGTATTAGAGCCTAGACGGCAACTGTTCGGTGTTGTGTCAGTTATCGCAAGGGTGAAAACTGGCAGCGATCACCGAATGGTTCGAGGCACACTGAACCTAAACGTTAAGTTGGAGAAGTCTTGTCTAATGAAGTCAACGCTCCGTCCCAAAATATCTCGCTCTAATCCAAAATCCCGAAACCTTTCAGCTGTAGTTACAAAAACGTTTTCAGTGCCTAGAAGATTGCAATGCAGTGGACGATATGAATGAGAAGCTTGTGGAAACTGTCCATGGGGTCGGAGCTAAGTTCTGCAAGACACGCCGCAGAAGAACACAAAAACTCTCCGATTACACTGTTAATCTCATGGCTGTTAGACGGGAGATGAAGCTACAGCCGTCAGCAGATTTGACAGCATAAAGGCAACTGAATAGACAGATCTCCAAATGCATGCGGCGGGACTTACGCAACTTTAATACTGCTCGTATTGAAGAAGTGATCGAGCAGAACCAGGGCCAGGGCAAAGTCTTTACCTGTCTGTCTACCAGAAAGAGCCAACTGTCAAGCTGAAGACTGATTGTGGCATCATCCTTTTCGGGACATCTAAAATTTTGAGTGAGATTAAGAGGTTCTATAAGCAGCTGTACATATCATTGTTGGAGCCACATGCTAGTGTGAGTAACGATCCAGGAGCAAGTCGTATCCGACACTATTCTGATGATATCCCAGACGTCAGTCTGAGCGAGATTAGAATGGCTCTCCAGCACCTTAAAAACGGCAAGGCCCCAGGCGAGGATGGAATTACAGCGGAGCTTCTGAAAGTGAGTGAAACACCGATACCTAAAGTCTTTCAATTCCGTCCTTAATGGTGGCACTACTCCAGAGGCGTGGAGCAGAAGTGCAGTGGTCTTGTTCTTCAAAAGGTGACATCGCTCTCTTGAAGAAATACAGACCAATTTCCCTTCTGAACCGCGTCTACGTGCTGTTTTCGAGAGTCATTACGAATTGTCTCGCACGCGGACTCGACGACTTCCAGCCTCCGGAACAAGCCGGTTTCCGAAAAGGCTTTAGTACCATAGACCACATACATACCCTTCGGCAAATTGTACAGAAGTCCGAAGAATACAATCAGCCACTTTGCCTGGCGTATGTGGATTATGAAAAAGCCTTTGATTCCGTCGAAATTTGGGCGATGCTACAGTCTCTTCAGCGGTGTCAAGTTGACTGTCGGTATATCGAAGTGCTGAAGTGTTTGTACAGTAGAGCTACGATGGCTATCCGAGTACAGAACCAGAGTACGAAACCTATCCAACTACAGAGTGGTGTAGGACAGGGTGACGTTATTTCCCCGAAACTCTTCACCGCTGCATTGAAAGACGTTTTCAAGCTACTGGACTGGAAAGGATATGGATGGCGTGTACATCACTCACCTTCGATTTGCCGACGATATAGTCTTTATGGCAGAATCGCTAGAAGACTTAAGCACTTTGCTCAATGACCTTAATAATGTCTCCCAACGGATAGGTCTTAAGATGAACATGGACAAAACAAAGATCATTTTTAATGTCCATGTCACACCTATGCCGGTAGTTGTTGGGAGCACTAAGCTCGAAGTTGTTGACGAGTACGTTTACCTGGGGCAAATAGTCCGACTAGGTAAGTCCAACTTCGACCGAGAAGTCAATCGCCGGATTCAACTCGGCTGGGCAGTGTTAGGGAAATTACAACACATCTTCTCGTCAGGTATACCTCAAAACCTGAAATCTAGATTGTACAACCAGTGCGTGTTGCCAGTGATGACTTACGGATTTGAGGCGTGGTCCTTCACAACTGGCCGTATGAGGACGCTCAAGGTTGCTCAGTGATCTATGGAGAGGTCTATGCCCGGGGTTTCTCTGCGTGATAAACTTAAAAATGAGGATATCTGCAGTAAAACCGGAGTGGCCGACATAGCCCAACGGATTAGTTAGCTGATGTGGCAATGGGCCGGCCATATAGCTCGAAAAACCAACAACCGTTGGGGAAAAAAGGTTCTCAAACTGGCAAACGGCAGTCTCGTACCGGTAGGCTTAGTGTAGGGCGACCCCCCACTAGATGGAGTGACGACTTAGTAAGACATGCAGGAAGTCGATGGATGCAGATGGTTCAGGACCGTGCTTTGTGACATTTCTTGGGGGAGGCCTATGTTCAGCTGTGAGTTTGTGAAGGGCTGTAATGATGATGATGATGATGACATGTTTGTTCTTTCTCATTTCAGTACCACCGCGAAAGAAGAAAGAAGTGTGCGGTGTAGCAAAGCCTTTAAGCGAGGTTTCCTTATCCTCTAACGATTCGGTTGACAAAACAACGGAATATGCCAAGCCTGTTACTAATAGATTGCAATCACCTATAGAGTCCCATTTTGCTGTTACACCTACAACAGAAAGCAAAACAAGTTCACCAGCCAATGGTTTCACCAGTACCGAAGGTGGGAAACTGCTTTGTGAGGAACTCGATAATCTAAACATCGATGATAATTTAATCCATCGAAGTAAGGAATCTATTTGTGCCAGCGACGACTTCGTAGCGATACATTCGTCTTCGAACAGTATCGAGGAACTTAAAAAGCATGACCCTGAAAAATCAATAAGTAAGGAGTCGATTTCATTCTCCGACGATTTAGTTCCAATACACTCATCATCAACTAGTGTCGAGAATTTGAAATTTGATTCGAAAAAGAAGGAAGATAATAAAATAACGAGTCAATTGAACGATTTATTGAGTCCTGCTGAGGAATCTATATCGATGTTTACTCAGTTGTCAGATAAATTGACGGAGATTACTGAAGGAGATAGCGGCGTTGACACAGCACACAATTTCTCTGATGAGGAGACATGCAAACCGGAGGTAAAATAATAATAAAACATTTTATTTCTCTTCATAAAGGTATATAATTTCACATTATTTCGTAAATAATACGGTTGTAGATAATTTTGACCTTTGTGGAGACACTGGTGTCCATACTAGGGTAATCCCTGTGTTATAGATCACCAGGCCCTCACCCTAATGAATAGCACATATTACATTTTCAAATATACTACAAGACAAATACAAGATTAAGTGCGCGTGTGCGTGGGCGAGGGCGTGTGCGTGTGCGTGTGCGTGTGCGTGTGCGTGCGTGCGTGCGTGCGTGTGCGTGTGCGTGTGCGTGCGTGCGTGTGCGTGTGGTGCGTGCTGGTGCGTGCGTGTGCGTGCGTGCGTGCGTGCGTGCGTGCGTGCGTGCGTGCGTGCGTGCGTGCGTGCGTGCGTGCGTGCGTGCGTGCGTGCGTGCGTGCGGGTGCGTGCGTGCGTGCGTGCGTGCGTGCGTGCGTGCGTGCGTGCGTGCGTGCGTGCGTGCGTGTGTGTGTGTGTGTGTGTGTGTGTGTGTGTGTGTGTGTGTGTGTGTGTGTGTGTGTTTGTGTGTGTAAAATTAGGACGATAAATAAAGGAATATAATTCGTTTTTATAACTTAAAGTAAAAGTAAAGTTACAGCCTATATACGTCCCACTGCTGAGCACAGGCCTCCCCTCATTTCTGAGAGGGTTTTAGGGCAAGTAAGTGTCTGCCGCGTGGCCTCAAGAGCCGTGGTAGCTCAGATGGTTAACGTTCTCACTGTAAATATAACAGAACGTAAGTAGCCCGGGTTCGAGTTCCCGCCGGCACCAATGAAATTGTTAATTGCAATTTTAAGTGCTGATTTACCACGTGCTCGGCGGTGAAGGAAAACATTGTGAGGAAACCTGCATGTCTTAGGAATAAGAAAAAAATATATTTCGAAGACATGTAAAGTTCGCCAACACGCATTGGGACTGCGCGTTTTTATAACTTGCAAGTCGTAAATAAAATGTAATATAATGTAGAAATTATACTCGTATATGTTGTTATAATAAATCAGTAGGAACCTCTTTTTACAGAAATGGACTATTTTGGATCTTCAATTTGGCATTCCATTATTTGATGAGGCTCTTTGTGAGAGAGTATGTCAAAGTATTGTAGATAGAATAGCAAAACCAGACATGTAAGTTGATTTACTGTGTTTGTTCAAAATTATTTAAAAAATAGTCTTATAAATCAATTTTTCTTAGTGTTTAAAGCTATTTAAAAAAATTCTATTTAATTTAATTATTTTATAATCGAGTTTTCTGAAGAAAATTTATTTCTATATGTTTGAAATTTTTAATACTGATTCTGATAACGCACTTAAAGAGAATCACAGGGTCTTGTTACATTTTGTAATACCCTTATATTTATCTTTTTGATTACTTACTAAAACAATAATTGTAGAAGTTATTTTTGATTATTGAAATACATTTTGTTTTACAGACTTGAAAAAATTAAAGAAGACAACGAGTTTATACGTTCGGATGTACTAAAATTTGTTTCGCAGTGTCAGGTACTTTATACATTTATAATTAAGATTGTGTTGAATGCTGGTAATCCAATAAAAATTAAGATTATGTGTAGATGAATATTATGAATCAGACTAAAAATACTGATGAAGACATAGATAAATACATATAATATGTATAATAACTTTATATTTTATTCCTATATGTATTATTAATGTCATTGATTGAACTATTAAATCAATATTCAAACTAACGCCGCCACCTCAATATCCGATAGGTGCTCAAGCGTTTTATGACACGAGTTCGTATCCGTTTTATAGTCTCATTGAAGGTGGAGCAAGTTTTTATCCAACGTCTTTACGATGGGCGCCTTTAAGCATTATAAAAAGCCAAATTCGCACGCGGCGACCTTTAATGTTGCAGCTACGCTTTTGACAAGATGTCGCGCGTAACAAGGTGGCGCGATACAATGACGATTTTTTTTAAATTTTTGGCGTAGGTGCTTGTCCTTCTAGCCATGTTTTCATTCCATTCGGGATCTTCGTTTTCATATTTTTTTTTCTTCACACAATATGCTGATGCGTCATATTGCGAAGTTTTTGGGAGATTTTGACGACAACTCAACCCAGCGGACTGTTGATGACGATTGCCACTCAAGTACATATGGCGCTTAAGAGATCAAAATAACTTGAGTTTTATATCAGAATGGAAGTACCTGTTTCATCGTTTTCTCTAATAGTGCACATGCGCAGACGCGCAGCGCACTTAATACACAAAATCGCATCACTTACGTTTCAAAATTCTACTCCAAAGCATTACTTAAACGATAAAACAGGAGCAACAAACCGTCTACGGTCAAGTTCCCGCCAAAACCTGCATACAAAAGCGACCGTATCTAAACGAACAGATTATAAACATTATTTTTTGTGTTAATGTGAGGGATTGCGGTGTGCACTTTTGAATTTTCCAATTATTTTTTTAAAAATTAACCGAGATAACTACATCTGGCCGGTACTCATAAAATATACGTCTATTTAAGAAATCCTTAAAGTTTCTCTGCCTTCACTATATTACAATAGAAACACTTATAGAGATAATTAATAAACGATTCTAAGTAAGGCCGTAACCGTTTATTTATTTTTCCAGTACTATCCGGGCGAAGATATGGGCATTGTTAAGCGCGGTACTCTAGTTCCCTTGCCGAGGAAGAATTTGGTTTTTGAGAACGGGAGGATTACCGAGTGGAACGGGAAATGATTGTATCCTTTCTCAATCTTAGAATTCCAATAGTTGGCAGAGGCAATCGCTTAGAATATAGAAGAGTTGCATTAATATATTCTATATTTATTTGAATGAAACAACAACGTGCGAGTAGATTATACGAATGTAGTGATTCTTTAAAAAAATATATTTGAATACTTTGTTGTATTCCTTTAAGACCAATTTCATTTTAAATATTGGGTTATAACTCTAATTTTAAATATTAAGTAAGTAGAACAACAATATTTTAGTTCTGGCTACCATAGTCATAATACAGAAAGTTATTTTCATAAAATCTAAAAAATGTTGACGTAATACAAATTGTTATTGTCATTGAATACAAGATAATATATTTAGAATTTATTTGAAGCAGAATTTTTATGTGGTAATTGTTGTGTATATAAATATTTATTTTTGTTTATGAATTATCTCTTTAATAAAGTTTAAAACATGTGAAAAGATGTAAAACTTAATTTCGAACAGGTTGTTGTTGTTCCCTGATCTTTTTTGTAATTCCCTAAAACCAAAACCAAAAACTCACCCTTTTGTACCAACACTGTATTAGTGTGTGGGTACAAAAATAAATATCATTCAATTCATAAATGAATTACTATTACGTATAAAGACAGTTCACGCAGTTAACAGTTAGAAGAGTCAATTCGCCTTGCTATGAAAGTATTATTTTTCAGTTAATATGGAAGATTTCATACTATGATGCATGTAACGACCGTCCATACAACCGTGCGCATGATATAATAGCCCTATTTGTTAGTTAAATATAAAGGATCGCTATTCCCGCTTTGAGAAACGATGAATAATCAGGTCTTCTTCGATTTTCACATATTTAAGCCTATATGATGCGTCTTCCGCTGGGGAGAATAGGATAGCTTATAACATAAATATGCTTTTTTTCATAATTTCTGGTTTAAGAAAGATAATTTGGGTCATTCTAAACTAAATCTATGTGCGTCATGTTTAACAAATTAGCAAATATTAAAAATTAATTAGTGTGAAGGAAATTAAATGAAATAAACCCGCTCTAGTGTAATTAGAACTAAATTATTTGTATGATTTAAAGTTATTTTTATTTAAAAAGAGTCATTTATAGATGTTTTATAGTTAATTTAATATTGATACAAGTAATGCACAACGTTTGTTATTATTTTGGTGCTAATATAATATATTTTGTGACAGTCGGAATTTTTTTCCGGTCAAATCCGACGACTGACGAAAGCGGTTAAAAGTGAATTTTACTACGAAGCTTAAGGTTTATAAATGTGACTATTAATTCGTCTTTAACAAATAATTGTGACCAAATTACCACGTGCGTGATCTTAACATTATTCAAATTGGACATATAACAATTTTGTTTTATTAAGTAATTCGCTAAATTCAGAAACGTTATGGCCAATATTCATGATGCTTTAATTATACAAGTACGCTGGACTGGCTATACCATACAAAATGTCAGTGCCTATTTGAAGCGCAACCATTTGCCGTCCCGGGAACTAAAAAAATAATATACCAAAGTCTGTTGTCTTATTTAAATCTTATCTCTGTATTTTGAACCTTTAAACTAAAAAAACCAAAAGTATTTTATGTGGTTTTATTGTGTATAATTTTAGTTACATAATAAGAATTATTTTTTATAATAATGAGAGTGTGCGTAATATGTAATACTCGTTACGAAAAGGAAAGTGGTATAACATTCCACAAGTAAGTAAATTTACAGCTAATATTAAACAAATTAAAACTATATGATAATATAAGTACTTAAAAATTTGTTACCAATCTTAATATCAGAATTACCAACGTGTTTGGCTTTATATTACTGAGTTTTGATAAAAAATAAAATTCAATAGGGTTGTCGAGTTCCTTGTCTATAATACTTATAGATGTTCTTTCCTACCCATATCGGTTAACAAACAAAGTCGCCGACAACAAATAATTGCCAAATGTTTATTAATTAACAGCTTTTCAACTAAACCTAGACTAAAATTATAGCTTAAAGCATAAATATTGTGAATTGGCGTCCGAAACAAAATGATCATCTTTGTTCTAAACATTTCACAGACGACTGTTTTATTAGACATGAGAAATGCACCACTTTGAAAAAGTGCAGTATATCGACAATATTTCTTGGCATTACCAGGGCCAGTAAGTATAAAAGTGTTAGATTATTATTTCGAATGTTTTTTATTTCTTATCTTTTTAGAAGTGTAGAAAAGTCGCCTGATGATGACTTTGAGTTTCCGTGAGTTTAGGTGACACACCTCGTGTTTACATTTATTGTTGTGAATTGATGTGTTAGTGACATTTTAGTGGCTACACGGGCTCCGCCCACTCCCTCGTTCATCCGTAATGTCCATTCAGTTTAGTTCAGTTAGTTATCGATATATTTTGTCACACTGTCTTATCTCTATTATTAGTTTCCTGGACGTTCACTTCTGCTGTCTGCGCCAAAATGGCGCAAATCAAATCGCCTTATTATGTCACGGTGTATAGCCAGTCCATATATAGATGTCAGTGGTCCCAACCTACTATACTAACCGCTCGATCCAGTCGACCCAAACGTCGCAGGCACATCACACAATGTCACTACACCCACACTAAATGGGACAAACACTGGTAGGATTACAAATGGGGCGCGTTTCACCCGTAGACGGGCACGACGCGTGCCAGCACACACCGCGTACACCACCGTACACCCGCGTTCCTGGACGGTTCTCACCGCCCAGACTATCGACCGACACGAGCTGAGCAGTCAGAGACGGGGGTCCGCACTCCCCCCCTCGGACTGCGGTTAGATAGCTCAAAAACGCCTAAAAAGGCGACATGATGATTGGTAACAATACCAAATCATAAACCATTCATCATCATCCTCACTTCATTGCCTTTCTCTTTTTAATTATCTGAGTCAGACGAAGCTGTAAGAGTCGCATAGACTAACAGCGTTAACATAACGTTAACATAACAGAAACTAGACCAACCTACTATACTCTCTGTAAATATAAGCAAAAATATTAAATAGGAAATAAAATTCAGATTGAGGCTAAAATTTTTTAAAATTAATAATTTTTAACAAACTGTATGATTATTTCATTGTATCTATTACATTAAATTTGCACAAATCGCTGTTTATTTAATTATCATTTGTATAGAGTATGATAAACGGAAATGACATTTATATCTGTAATTTTTTTATTTCTGTTGCTGTAGTAGTTATTTTACATACAGGCAAATATTTGAAAACATAAAATGGAAAAAAAAGATAATATGTTTAAATTGGCAATTATTTTCATTGTTGATCTAAAGTATATCACTCCCATTTTACTGTTGTTAATCTTTTTTAAAATGGTTAACAAGTCTATTTTCAACTGCTTAGTTGCTCTATTTAACATACTGTTTTGTATTTATAAATAAATTCTACCATTATTTCTTGTGTTTAGGTGTATTCATTGTTTCCTCAATTTCTTTTTATTATATTATTAATTTTAAATATTGCAAATAATTTTATGCAGTTTCTTAACTTACTCTTAGGGTCCACGCTAACAGACGTCACGTCGTGGTATGGCACACTTCGGCATGCCAAAAGATTCTGTGACAGCCCGTGGTATGCCGAAGGATCCTGTGGCACTCCGCGGTACGCCAAAGCTTCCTGTGACAAACCGCGTCGTGACAAAAGTAGCCGCGTCCGGCTTATTGAGATCGCCGCCGCAACGGGCTAGATTCAACTTTGTTTCAATTAGTTAACACTCACATACCTTTAACAACTTGAAGTAACATATGAGCGCATGCTTCACGTGAAACGTCACGTGATGATGCGGCGTGGCGCGGTATCCCATGGAATGCCGTTACGTGCCGCAACATTCTGGGGAATGACGTGACGTGTAACAGCATACCGCGGTATCACGTGAGACGTTTCGGTATATTCGTGTTAAAATAAAGGAATGTCAGTGCTAAGTTCATTAAAATAAGGTAGAAAATCTTTTGTCCACGAAAAAAATCCTTTGATACGCCGTACCATGCCGTGCCGTCTGTGAGCGCAGGCCCTTACAGTGAAATTGTGTCCAAGCGCCACTGACTAAAAGTGACAACGGCTTAATTAATTAAACTATAACATTCGGGATGAGTAAAGTTTAAAATATTTTGGCCAACGCTTATTTATAAAGATAAGATGTTTAAGGGGAGTCAATTGTGACATTACTTTAAATTCATAAAAAATAGTTTCTTGTTTAACTCTCAGACCAAAAAAGAAATAAAGTGCTAGGTAAATTTAAAATGACGCAAAAACCTAGCCAAAACCATGGTCAACTTATTGTACGAACACGCAATCACGTTCACATATGGAACCACATGGTTTTAGGTGTATATGTATGTATCCAACGGTTCCAACATTGAATTTACATGAGATTATAAAGAAAAATTTAAAATATGTGCGTGTCAAGAAGATGAGAATGGATTCGGTGTCACTTGAAATGTATACAGCGCTTCGTCTATCTTCTTTTGTTTTTCTGTAGTTCAACTATTAATAACTCCGGTTAAAAAGGTTAAAAACTACAAAAAAAACGACTTCGTAGGATAGATTGCCTTTTATCTAATAATATTTATTCAGTTATTTTTATATTAATTCTAATGTATGTTACATATACACGTGTACACCTCTTATGTTGTATATTTACTAATTAGTTTGTGTAGAGGTCGTTAGCGCGGCAGCTGATCATGACATCTCAGGTACGAATCCTGGATCAGAACATAATAAGTTTATTGGGATTTTCTGTCAGAAAATTCTCAGTGACAGCCGAGAGTAGAAGTCGGCGGTGCTCAACGCCCAGAAACCATCCAGGAACCCACGCAAATACACCCAAAAAATTCATCAAAATCGGTCGAACCATTTTTGGGTTTTTTCGAGACGGTCGCCGTCAACGTTCAGCAATTGATTGAGATATATGGAGTGTATTCTTCTATCCTAATGTTATGACATATGTGTAATTGCATACTATGTGGCGATCGTCCAAATGCGATTCCCTTGTATATTAGTAAAAAGAGATATAACATTTTGAAATTAATTTTTAACTGAGCTACCTGTATATTACAATTTTTAATAAGACCATTTAATATTAACTATCAAAAAAACTCTTTTATAGGCCATTTAACAACGTAAACTCGTGGTAGCTGAGAATTTATCTACATAACTTACGATTTGTGAAATGTAGAATTTTAATGCACAGAAATTAAGTCACATAATCAAGAAACAATGCAAGCGAAGTGAGACAATTTGTTAGAAGCCTTGGCACACAAACAGTCTAAAAATGTACCAATAAATATTGTAATTTTATACCAGTTATGAAATATCGTTTCGAAAAGTTATAAAAAAATTTGATGTGCAATAATGTAATGTGTGTACCTGGCTTTCTAGTAATTATGTACATAATATAATGTAGGGATATTAGACCACACTAATTAGGAAGGTCTTAGGAATGGTTGGAAAGAAGCCTCGCAGTCCGTAACCTTCGTCAGGCAACGCTACAGAACATACCATCAAAGAGAGTATAATCTCTACGTTTTATTTAATAATCTCTCATGCTGCTCCCAATTCGGGCACAGAGTTGTCTTTATAATATTTTTTACGTAGTAGAGCCATGCTGCAGCTATATATTTTTTTTATATATATATATATATATAGTAAAGCTATTATAGTTGTAGCACGAATGGGTCGGCTCAGCCGGGGCAAGACCACGCTCTCACAGAATACCAGCGTAATGCTGCTGTGTTTCGTATGGTGTGTGTAGAGAACCGGAGACCATTTTTACTGGAAACGAGGCATTCCATCTTAGTCCTCAGGGGTGACAACGCATTTGCATTTTGATTCTTAATTGAGGATAAATGTGGATGTCTATGGGCCACAGCATCCACTTACTATCAGGTGACTGTGTGATCGTTTACACCCAAAGCTATAAAAATGTATTATTGTGGTTCATTGGCGCGCTTGATGCGTGTCAAAAAATCTAAGCAGCAAAACAAGAAACGGCGTATTGTAAATATTGTCAAAATTGTAAATGTGCCAGTACTGTTCTACACTTGTGAATTTGTACATTAATTCCTGCATATGTGTGCGACAATCCAATTCGTGCTTCGGGTCTGGGTGGATTATAGTCTTGGCGTTGTAGGATGGTGCGGAGGACATGTCACTAGAACGTAACTTGTGTGCGTTTGCAAGTTACGACTAAATTTTTTATTGTAAAAAAATAACACTGAATATCTTTTTGTTCATTTTTCTATTCTGTTATAACTATTAGATTAACATTAACTTCAAATATCTCACCTAACGTAGTTTTTTTTTAATCATAAAATTAGAAAAATATTATTTTCGAAGAACATGTGAGCAAATTGCTCGAAGAGGGGAAGGTCAAGAGTACTCGGATACCTAGACGTGCATGTATGAAGAAGTTAATGAACCTGAAAGAAGCGAAAGAGGTATGTAAGGTGACACTTGGCGATCTGTTCTCTCTGGTTACCCCGTTAGGGATTGTGCGTGAAGATAAGTAAGAAAAATATTACTTATATTTCTTAATTTATTTCACTTGTGTGCGCAGTTTCGTACTATGCTTACTAGCGGTAATTTTTTAACTGTATCATGTAAAAACTGTCAAGCTAATACAATCGCAAAAAATAAGTAAGATAATTCTATTTTAGAATTTATGGTGCAATATATACATGTAAGCACCTACGGATTCATGTACTACACTATAAATAAATAAATAAATGGAGAAAGTGGTAAAATTAAGAAAAAGAAATTAAATAATTTTATATTTTTCCGCCATTTTGTTGTTATCGCTTAAAGTAATGTTAAAGGCAAATGGCTAAACGCCTTCCCCTCGCTTGAGTCACCGAAACATTTTTTGTTCGTTTCGAAATTTTAAATAAACAAACTCAACAAATAGAAAAAAATAACCTAACAAAACACAACAATAAACTTAATAATCGACAGTAAATTACAAAACGGCCGATAGGTACTTCATGCATTTCTTGTTTTTCTTTGCTTTATTCTGATTTTGTTTCTTTTTCGTAGTTTTAGTCTTTGATTCCTTCTTTTTATTTTTTTTTATTTTTCTCTTGCTGTTTTTGTTTGTTTTTTTATTTATTTTGTTTGCTCTTGATCTTCTTTTACCTTTTTCATACGAGCAACGACATCAGATTACGTTAGTATTTCAGCACCTACACGCTTTTTGGTTTTTTAGGCAAATCGTTTTTTGCAATATGACTTAATATTAATTTTTCTAATGTTATCCTCCTGAAAGTTATTTTCTGTCGCTGTCTTCTTAGTGATTTCGCTAGAGTGACTTTTAAAGACGTCTAACATTGTGTTACTTTCGTTATTGTTTTTTTTTGGATCTGTGATGGTTTGATCACTACGTTTTGAATTTTTTTATTGAGGAGCTATTAATATTGTTGATTGTATTATTAGTTACAGTTTTCAATAGAACTTTAAATGTTTTGGGATTGCTTACTATGGATTGCTACTTTGAGATTGATTACTATCTTCAAATGTCAATTTACTGCACACATCTGAAATTAATGTGTTAGTGCATGTTTGAGAATAAAAGAGTTACCATTAGAACTATTACCATTCTGACTCTGATTAATAGTAAGGTCAACAATTCTGAGTGATAAATATCTAAGACTAGGAACTTCTTGAGCAAAGTTCTTGATGGGGAATACGGAATCGTCCGGGTATAAATCTTTTGCAAGATCATGGCAAGCTGTGGATTTGGAATCAAGGCTCTCTTTTATATCTGCAGCATTTTCAGTACCTCTGTTAACCTGATTCGTTTCATACAACTATTGTACATGGTTTCCCCACATTTCCTATGTCAGAGGATCAAATTTTTCTTTGTTCTTCATAGTTCTATCAACTGGATATATATCGGTTATTTTGAATCCGTTAGAAATAATAATTGGATTTAAATTGTCCCATATACAAGTAAGGATTCTCGCGTACTCATTTTTGATAGTTTGAAGCCAACATGCATTCTTTGCCACTTAGTAAGTTCTTCGTCCCACCTGTCCTTCATCGGTTTCATTACACTGCAATCTAAGGGTTGTAATACGTCAGTAGAATGAGGCGGCAGCTTAAGGATCGTGATTCCTTCAGATATAGAAAATTCAATTATGTCTACTCTTGCTCCCGATCGCATGCACAAAAACATCTTTCAAATATTTTTCAAATATACTGCATTCCATCCTTTCTTTCTTACAGCATATGCCGTTTTCACTTTTTCGTTGGAGTAAAACTACTCATTCCATAAATATTTTCCTTGGAAAACGATAAGGGGCGGCTACTTTATCACTATTTGCATTGGCCGCTAGAAGAACAGTTGTATCGGATCTGCCTGGTGAACTGGTACTTTTGGTACAACGTTTATTTTATTTATTTATTCTTTATTGCATTCTTTATTAATATATAAGAATACGAGGGCGTTATACCCATTAACTTTTCCAACCACTTTGATTTTCGTTGGGTCAAGACAAAAACTAATCTCGTCTAAGTTATAATTACGATCGAGTGCGGAAGTTAAATTCAAATCTCGAATTTCTTTTTCGAGTATATCAAAATACTCGTATACCGTAAAGGAATTACACACCTTTCTTCTCGCAACTTCCACAGACTGCGTTTTTTTAAAGTGAAATTGTGTCTTCTCCTGAAACCTCGAAACCAGTCATCGCCTGGTATGTCATTCTTAAATATTGTCACGATACCATTTCTTCTAATATATTCGCTAATCAGTGATAACACTTCTTTGCGAGAGCCAAGACAGTTTGCAATTCTCAGCTCTATGTCTTGACTAAAAACCGTAGATCTTCCAGGTGTAGATTTTTTAATTCCACGTGTTCCGGTTACATGCGCATAAATAGTGGCTCTGGGAACATTGCATTTTTCTGCAGCCTGATAAGTACTTAATCGTTTTTTGTTTTACTTCTTCGACTGCTTTTAAAAGATATGCTCCTGTATAGTGTATTCCTTTTTTTCGTTTGTAGTTCCGAACCATCTAAAACATAAGATAACCTACATTATACTTTATACATAATTTTTGGGTGATAATGACTTTGAAAAAAATTGTGAATTCGACGCGTTATGTAATTAATACGATCAGTTGATATAAAATGTGTTTGGTAAGTTTGAAAGTTCATAAAGAATATGCACTTATTTTGTATTAAAAAGTGAAAAAAAAAACATTCCGGTACATCGATTCTTTGGGAAAGTTGCCCAGAATCATGGACTGAGTGAATCCTGAAGAGCTCGTCTGAGTCATTTTTTTATTTGTAGATATCGGCATTAACAATATTTAGATCGACACTGGGACATCACTAGTGTTTGCCATAATTCATATAAAACAAAGGGGGCAAAACAGCTACAATTACCTGATGACCATGGTTCCAATTTTGATGAGGCAAAAGTAGCTAGCCTTGAAATCATGACTTAGCTTTCACGTAAGATGAAACAAACATGTTTAAAATGACTTACCATAAATGATTTCTTGAATCACCTCAAAACAACTTTTAATTTCACCCAAATACTATATGTTTGAAATAGTTTTTCTGAGCGGACACTTAGCACTGACTAACTTCAAAATGGCGGAATAAAAAAGCGGTTGGAAACTGACAATCTTCTTTACGCCATGTATTGATATGTAGGGTAACTTGAATTTCTCTACAAAGCCACAGATGTCACTTGCTTCAAAAGCTTTACTGGTCAGTTAGCTACATTTTCCCCCTAGCTACAATAGCCCCGGGTGACCTTATTGTAATTTAGAAAGAAATAAATGTTTAATTTTTTTTTGTCGATAGCCAATCGATCTTTTTTCATTTACTTTGTGAATCGTCTATTAGATGCTTTTTAAATCAATTTAACATTGTTTCATCTCTAGACACGCTAAACTGTCACCCGCACCATGCTATAACGCAAATACTATAGTGTAATAACCATAGATTTAGTATGAACCTTAGAGTAATTACATACATAGCATAAACTAACGTTAGGTAATAACACACACATACTATGGGTGCGTTTGGAGAAAGTATAGGTGGATTACTATTTATATTGTTTGTAAAGTATCATATTTCAATTGAATTTTTACATGTATATGTCTTTAATAATACTTTTCGAATTTATTTTCCTTGTACTTTCGGGTATCTGGGTGCAAGTGACGTCACGGTTGACATTTGTCCAATTATTTTGGCTTGGTGTACTACGTAGAGTAATTACATAGATACGGTCACTGACCTCTATACAATATGTAACAAAAACCCTGTGATTCCCGTTAAGTGTGTTATCAGAATCAGTATCTAAGTGTATAGAAATAATTTTTTTTCAAAAAAACATTTTAAAAAAATTAGTTTGCCAATTGTATGTGGTTTTTTTTCCTGCAACTCACACGAGTATCGGTAATGCGGGGTCTTTGACAATTCTCTTACTCCTCGGCCAATGCAGAGATAATAAAACCACATACAATTTGCAAATTAATTTTATTTTCATTAAAATACTAGCAAACCCGGCGAACTCCGTTTCGCCACCAGATGGCTTCGTTTTATGTAACATTTCGTTTGGTGATTAAAAGAAGAAGAAATTTTTTTTTTGTTTTTTTTTTGAAAAGGAAAAATTTTATTTCATTTCACAACAGTAATGAATTCTTTTCGATTACAAAAATGAAGTGTTATTTAGTTGAACTTCTCTAAGTAAATGAAAGTGAATCCAAAGTAAATACTGAATCGAAGCGTTATACGTGTCCGCAAATTATCCGTATCCGACATGATTGAAGTGCTCTTTGGTAAACCACATTTTTTGTTTTTTGGTCTGACGTTAACACAAACAAAGCGGATGGTTTCCCAACTCGTGAACACACAACGTATAACTGCCCATGTGAAAAACAATGATTTTCTAAAATTATCCCGCAAACACTAAGCGATTGGCCTTGCGACATGTTAATTGTCATTGCGAACGCCAGGCGAACTGGAAATTGCAATCGTTTGAAGTCAAACGGAAGATCAGTCGGAATCATTGGTATTCGAGGAATACATACATTTTCACCTGCGTACTTTCCGTTAATAATGGTTGCCTCAATCAAATTTTTTACCGAAAGTCGAGTACCGTTGCAAAGTCGCGGTGGATTCAAATTACGCAATATCATAATAACTGTACCAACTTTGAGTTGCAAGTTATGTGGTGGAAATCCTGGTAACTCCAGAGAGTTCAAAAACTCCGTTGGATAATTTACTACATCATCGGGATTTGTTATGGAATAACGGATTTGTATGTCAAAATCGCCAGATTTGTGAATGGTGAAATTCAGTGATTGTACATCATTATTCTTTGTGGCAAGAATTGCTCGTTGACTTAACCAAGCATAATTCTGATAATTCTCACTAATGTTTGGGAAAACATTTTCAATAAGAGCTAATTGAGAGTCTACAAATCGGCAAAAGTCGTTGGTAAGAGTAATTAATCCAGATGTCGCATCAACTGGGACTTTTCCATTTCCAACAGCTAACAATTGTTTGGAAAATTGTGCAACATTTTGAAGTTGAACTCTCATATTAGTGGTTAGCGATAATGTTTTTACGTTATTCCATAAAGGTGATGCCTTCAGGCAAGCATTCAATTCATCTGCAGGCGTTCCACGGGGAATTACTGGCAACGTCTGCCTGAAATCGCCTGCCAACAATATCATCAAGCCGCCAAAGATGTTGTTATTTCGCCGAAGATCCTTCAGTGTGAAGTTAAGTGCTTCAAGTGATTTCTTATGTGCCATTGTGCACTCATCCCAAACAATGAGCTTGCATTGCATCAACAATTTTCCATTGCACTGGATCGGGAAATATTGCATGTTGGAGTATCAATTGTGTTTAAATTGAGTGGCAACTTAAGCGCAGAATGTGCAGTACGACCTCCATCTAGAAGAGTCGCCGCAATTCCAGATGATGCTAACACCAAAGCTATGTCACATCTTGATCGAATAGTGGCCAAAATCAATGAAATGACAAATGTTTTCCCTGTTCCTCCAGGTGCGTCCAGGAAGAATAGACCACCATCATTATTGTCCACCGCTTGCATTAATGTTTCGTATACTTGTTTTTGCTGTTCATTCAGCAACGGCACATTATTTCGAACGAATTCCTGCAATGTATCAACATTGTATTGCAGCTCTCGATTTAATTCTTGGTTGAATGCATCGTGCATCGATCGATTTGGCGCAATCATTCCTACTTCAATCAGTAGCTTGTTTGCAATAGTCAAGCATTGATCCTCAATCAGAATCAATCCTTCATTGTAGATTTCATCGGTTATTTGGATGTCAGGATTATTCGTTTGAATGCGCAAGCGATGCAAGATATCTTCACATATGTCGTATTTGTATTTGTTCCATAACTGAATTGGTTGTGAAGGAAAACATGTGGTGATGATAATTGCGAACAGCGTTCGTATTTGGTACGCATTTAATGAAACAACTGAATCCGCAAGTGTTAAATCCCAATGAGAATCGTTCTCCAGCAAGTATATACAATAGTTGACATGCTTCTCGATATGTTTGGCATTGGTGGCCATTCACAGTTTTCAAATGCGCAAATGATTTTGGTCCACGTACATTTACCAACAGCAGTCGCAAATAAAAACATTCATCATTTCTAGGATGAACAGTATACATGCGACCTAGTGCATCAGTGGAAAACAACTGTGACCAATCTGGAACTGGGGTTCCTTGTTTGCGACGTTGGAATTTCTTTGTTGATTGATTCCAAGTATAATACTTGGGCATTTCAACGTACATCAGCGTCGCTGCGAATGGATCTGCTTCACACATTGCAAAGAAGCTAGTCAATGTTGTCGATGGTGGTCTCTCAGCTCGTTGTGCCGCATTAGCCTCAGTGAAGTAAACTCTTTGGCCATTTTCCAAATGCACTGCTAAATGTACAACTGTGGGATATCTTTCATGAATTTGAAATGACAATAATAATCGCCACAGTGCTTCATTAGTACTGACGTATCTGCCCATTTAGAAGTTGCTGATTTCGTCATTCGCATTTTCCGACGCAATACCAAACACAGCCATGTCGCTGCCTTTTGTGACGTACTTGCACAAATATTTGATTGATTTGGCCGAATGACAACTCTCAACGTTTGCATGTGTTTCGAAAATTCGTGATAGCAGCGGGCAATATGGTACAATGAATTCATTTCCGATCTCAATCTCTTGATTTTGAACTTTAACTTTGATAGTTCGACCATTATCTTCTTTTGAACGCCGACGATAAACTGGATATCCGTCGTTCCCTGTGACTGTTTCAGCAACTAACGGTCGCGGATATCGTTTTGTGCACTTTCCATCAGCCATGCAAGGCGATAATGGATTTAATGCACCGCACGGTCCATGCACCATTTGTGTCGTCACAATGTCGTTTAGATGGGGATCGGTGACTGGATCAGGAATTTCAGCTGATATGATGTCATCCACTTCATTTGAATGTAATTTGTTCAGCAACCAAATTAGGATATGAGCATGCGGTAGACCATGCTTCTGCCATTCCACCGAGTACATATAACAACGTGTGTCACCAAAAACTCGATACTTAGTAAGCACATCCATCATGATCTTGAGTTTTTGCTGAAATACTCTGGCGATTATGTCACGGCGATCTTGCGGTTTTTGGCCCGGTTCCAACTCACGTTCAATTTCCGTCCACTTCGGATTGCATGTGAACGTAATAAATAAATCCGGAGTTCCATAATTTCGCACGTCATAGCGTCTTGAGCGTATTCGTGCATGTGGCGTGGGCTTCCGATATAAGATGATGGGAGAATCGTCAGACGTCCAATATTGAACATCACCATCTGAATGAATAGCATCACGCAAGTGTATATAGTCCTCAGATCGTAGCTTTGCCTGATTGAATCGGATGAACGCTAAACGTTCGGTCTCGACTTTGACATACATGTCGACAGCGAATTGCTGGAATAGCCGACGGCACTTCAGAATGACATTCTCCTCATGTGTACGAATCATCATACGATACGCATAGTAATTCATTGCGCTTAGATTTTTATTCGTTGATACGCCTGAAAATGCAAAATTAAATGAATTGTTAATGGAAACCAATAATAGCAATAATTTGTGTGTGAATATTGTATCTGTAATTGGATCGACCATCTTCAACGTGATGTTGTATCCGTTTTGCCCTTGCCAATAAAAGATTGGATATTGTAACGCATCGTACAAAAGATGTGTCACGTTTACACGATGCATGATATTGCTTCTTCGCTGAACGACGATGTCTCGCGATTTAGTTGGATCGCCAACAATAATTGCAGCAACATCATTAACGGTGGGTGCATTGAATCTTCGCACATGTTCACCTGTTGGGGTACAATCCGCTCTTATGACAAATTTGTGCGTATCCGATGGCATTCGTTCCAGTGCTGTTTTGAACATATTAACCACAGCATTATTAGCGTGAAAAAATGCTTGCGACTGTTCAATAATTCGTCTCTTTAACTGTTGTGTTCCCTGTATATTGCACCGCACATTCAGCTGATCCACCATCGACGAAATGAAATATATTTGCAGAAATTGATGCGGTTCATCTGGTGTTGGCACCATTGAACCATGCAAATGATATATTTGTCCTTGTACCTGTAATTGCAAACAATCATTTGTTGAAGAATACGGTGTAACTTCTGATCGTGTGATGGTGTAGTGTGTGGTGTATATGTAGTTGTTATGTGTTGCAATTCATTGTGTTGGTGTGAGTGATTGGTCATGTGTGTTGTATCTTTTACCTTGCAAGTCGGCATGAAGCCGCCTTCTCGAATGATATTAGCTCCAAAGGAAGTCATGCGAAAGCAGTTATTGTATTCAAGGATGTGTTGAAGAAAATGGCTGGAATCGGGATCACTTCCATCGAACAATGGTTTCAGTGGCTGTGGTGGTGTAAGTAATGGATCCAGTGTGACTTTTCCACTTGCGCAGCACAATCCAGCCGTTTCTCTTTTGAACTTTAACGCATTGCAATGTCGGCATATAGTCGTCATTGGTCCAATATCTAAATTTTCATCATCACTGTAGTTCGCAGTGGGATCATATTGGAATGCCAAGCGATTGTATGATGCCAATGATCTTCGTGTTCTCACGCGTTGTCTCAATCGGGCATTTTCTCTTATTATATTTTGTCTTTCTTCGCTTAAGTTCTGTGAATACACTTGTTGCTGGCTTGCATGTCTTGTGCGGCGGCCGATGTTCGCACGTCGTCCTCTAGGCATTTTGGACTATGGACAGAATGGTGAATTTAACCTCAAATGCGTTATCCACATAATTTACACAGTTCAACTTACCACTTTAAAGACAAATGCCTGCTGTTGAAATTGAATAAAAATTTGCACAATACACGTGATTGATTTGATGGTTTCCAATTGTAATGTTAGGAAACGAATAACTTGTTTTTTTTTTACTTTTTTTCACAATTTTACAGTGAACATGAATACCGGTTTGTCACATGAAATTAACTAAGCAGAGAACAATGAGTAGCTGTCAAACAATGTATCACGCACCGGCGCCATCTACTTAAAATATTGGTTTGTAGTACATGCTATGTATCAGAGATGGCGCTGTATGTGAAAAAAGATTTTGTTTTCTGTTGAAATTTTTCCTGAATTTTCTTTGCTATAAACCTCACGGAGCCCGAGACCTTTCCAACGAATGCAAAACCGTGGAAATCGGTTCGTGCGTTCTGGAGTTATAGGGTCAGGAAGGAAAACCCGAATTTTTTTTATATAGTAGATTATTTTAAATGTTTTTTTTTTTTTGAAAAAATTATTTCTATATGCTTGGATACTGATTCTGATCACGCAGTTAACGGGAACCACGTGGACTGGCTATACACCGTGACATGTTGAAGCGATTTGATTTCCGCCATTTTGGCGCTGACAGCAGAAGTGCACGTCCATGGAACTAATAATAGGGATAAGACAGTGTACCAAATTATATCGATAAAAATTTTATACCCTACCTATACCTAAATAAATAGAATAGACTCTATGGATAGATGGACTCTAGCCGTAACATCCATTCTATTTATGTATCATATTAATATAATGCCATTATTATTCATCATCATTAAAACCCTTCACAAGTCCACTGCTGAACATAGGCCTCCCCCAAGGAATGCCACAAAGCACGGTCTTGAGCTACCTGCATCCATCAACTTCTTGCATATCTTACGAGTTTTTGACTCCATCTAGTGGAGGAACGTCCTACACTTGACCTGCCGGTACGAGGGTGCCACTCGAGAAGCTTTTTTCCCCATCGGTATTCGGTTCTTCGAGCTATATGGCCGGTCAATTTCCACTTCGGCTTACTAACCCATTGGGCGATGTCGGTCACTCTGGTTCTGCTGCAGATATCCTCATTCCTAAGTTTGAACCTCTGAGCATAGCCCCCTTCATAGCTCACTGAGCGACTTCGAGCTTCAAGCTAGCAGTGAAAGACCTCGTCTCAGATCCATAGGTCATCACTGGCAACACGCACTGGTTGTACAATCTAGTTTTGAGGTATTCCTGACGAGAAGATGTGTTGTAATCTCCCGAACTCTGCCCAGTCGAGTTGAATACGTCGATAGACCTGTCGGTCGAAGTTGAACTTACCTAGTCGGACTATTTGTCCCAAGTAAAAATACTCGTCAACAACCTCAGCTAAGTGCTCCCAAAAACCACCGGCATAGATGTGACATGGCTTTTGTTTTGTCCATGTTCATCTTAAGACGTAGGTCCTCTAGCGATTCTGCCTTAAGGACTATATTGTCGGCAAATCGAAGGTGAGTGACGTACATGCCATCGACGTTAATACCGTATCCTTTCCAGTCCAGTAGCTTGAAAACGTCTTCCAATGCAGCGGTAAATTATTTCGGGGATATTACCACACCCTGTCTTACACATCTCTACATTTGGATTGGTTTTGTACTCTGGTTCTGTACTTGGATAGCCATCATAGCCCTTAGACCATTCAACTAAAAATTATTAAGATTAAACTAATTACACAAAATAAAAATAAAGACATTGTTTCTAAAATAATTTATTGTCACCCGTTCATTTAGTTCTAGTATTATAAAAACAAATCAGCTGCTATACTAACGACTATTCTAATCAACTACAGGTCTGTCTATAGATAGTAAAATATTTTCTACTATATAAAAATTTATGTTTGTTCGTACTTTCTACGATGCCATACCGTTCATCAAATTGCGGTCAAACTTAGTCAACTTATTGGTTGACTTGTGCGGAGGTTATACGCATGGTACAATTAACTGACACTTGGTGGCGTGCGTATTATACCGACTATTTATTTGAAAGTTATAGAAAGTTATATATCATTCTAATTCAATGTATTATCATTCCTAATTATACAATATAACTGTTCCACATTTTTAACGATATTTCTACAATTATTTCTTCTGCGGCAGCAATGCGCCGGATACGAGCTAGCAAGATAATATAAAAAAAATATAAACTTTGAATTACATAGTTATCAGTTATTTACAACGTCATTTTCGAAATTGAAATTACTATATTAAAAAAAATAACTGTAATTATCATAAAGTCCTACTTTCTGTGGTATCGTACCAAAAATGCTGGCTACGTGTCCTCATTGAATGGCTATACTTAGCCTTCAGGCGAGGAAACAACATACTAAACAACTTCTTATTACCAGCAGCGATAATCAGTCGCAGACACAGTTTTTTAGGAGCTACACCGCACGTGCACCCTACGGACCAATAGTCTTTACAGCAAATTGTGTAAATATGTACTTACCTTCCAGATACTCTGGGCTATTTACTTGGTTCAATTGCCTCTAATGCCACCCCTGCTTAAGACGAGGTACCCCTGAGATGGGATGCTGTCAAATCATCAATCTCTCTCTCTATCAAGGAACCAAACCCATACCGTCGGGTCTCCTGGTATCGTCTCTAAATATTCTACAAAGATCTTAAACCGAGGAAACATTTATACAGATACGAGCTGCACTACGGACTCCCCGAGCCCGATATAGGAATGGAGCCAGGGAAAAACGAGCACTTGGAAGCATCAAGTGGTGCAGCCTCACCAAAGTCGCGAAAGATAGTCGAATGGCGCATTGCCCATCGCCATAACAACACTCCTCTTAACTAGCCGTAGCCCACTAACACACATCCAACGTGGCTCGACATCATCAGGCGATCTTTCGACACTTGGCTATGGCCCTTGAGTTTGGTGGAAAGTGAGGAAAGAAGAAATAAAAAAAAACATTCGAAATAATAATCTAATACTTTTATACTTACTGGTTACTGGTACCAGAAAATATTGTCGGTATACTGCACTTTTTCAAAGTGGTGCAGTTCTCATGTCTAATAAAACAGTCGTCTGTAAAATGTTTGGAACAAATATGATCATTTTGTTTCGGACGCCAATTCACAATTTATGCTTTTAAGCCATAATTTTAGTCTAGGTTCAGTTGGAAACCTGTTACCTATTTGATAATCATCCGTTGTTGGCGACTTTTTTTGTTAACACATATTGGTAGGAAAGAACATCGATAAGTATTATAGGCATTGAGCTATTATGTACTACGTACTAGAGGCGACACTGCATTCAGCTACTCTATTCCACTCAACTGCGGTGCATGCACCGCACTTTAATCAAACCCTCGCTAGGCGCTTGTAGAGTTGTCACGTGTTGTGTTGATTTAACACTCCAGTACACGCGCTTAAAATAGTGACACGATTCCACGCGCGGGGCACAATTGTGGCCCAAAATATTGTGATTTTTTTAGTAACATAGGAATAGAAATAAAATATTATAGTTTTTATATATAATCAGCCTTTATTGACTTATCAAAAAACAACAAAAAAATAGACACTTCTGTACTAAAACAAAAAATAAAAAGTATTTGGCTTCATACTGATAAAACTAAAGAAAAATGGCACTTATACTTATAATTAAGATTTTTGACATAATCCGACTATTCTTTGGGCTCGGTTACATATTTATTATAACAACCAAGGCATACAGGATATTTATGGTCATTGCACACAGGCTTCTGACACTTCTGGCAAAATGTTCTGGTCGATCTATCTTTGGCTCTTCCGCAGTCGTAACATCTGGCTGTTTTGGTTCTCTTTTTTGGTATAACTTCATCTTCAGGCACTAAATTACTCTCTTTTACTTCTAAAAACATCATGATCTTATCCTTGATAGTCCGAGGTAAGTTTTTAGTCATAAGTCTCTGTCGCATTTGAGCCTTTATAAGTTCTATAGCCACCGAACGTAAGTAGTCGCGTCGAGATTTGCGCTGGTAATTGTGATTGACCATTGTGTCAATTATCATGCCATTGATGCCAGCGATATTTACCATGTCAAAAAATAGGGTGAGGGGCCAACGTCTACTATTTCGTGCTACACTGAAATGCTTGCACATTTTATCTAAAACGTCAACACCACATTTTGTCCTGTTGTACTCAGTAATTATTTCAGGTTTTCTTTTCTCAGCGGTAGAAAGATCAATCGTACCATCATTGTGCATGGTTGATGCCACTAAAACTACTTTTTTTGGTTTTGGTACGTAAGACACTAAAGTGCATTTCTTTTGGAAACCAAATAAGGAGTCGTTGATGGGTCTACCTTTGGATGATTTGAAATTGAGTGGAATGTCAGGTTTGTTAGATTTCAGTGTCCCAATAGCAGTAATCTTCTTCATTTCTAGTTCCATCAACAACGGTATACTGGTAAACCAGTTGTCCATGGTCACATTGCTTCCCATACCTTCGAGAGGCTTTAACATTCTGTGAACAATGTCTTTCACTTTGTTGGAGACCTGAAAAGGTCCAGGAGGTTGAGCACCGGCATAAATTTCTAAGTTGTATGCATAAGGAAACGTAACATCTACTAAGGCAAAAAGTTTAAGACCATACTTGTCTGGTTTGTTGGGAATAAACATCCGGAAACCACAACGTCCTCTAAATGCCACAAGTTGCTCATCTAGAGTGAGATACTCACTCGGTGTATAATACTTTTGTAGGTTCGATACAAAAATGTCAAAAATTTGTCTGATAGGAGCGAGTTTATCAATTTCCTTTCTGGAATCTCTTGTATGGATGTCATCAAATCGAATGCACTTTAGCAAAAAGGCAAATCGATTTTGAGACATTGTGAGATAAATAGCCTCCACTGCAGTTCCAAACCTATTGTCCCAAAAATCTTTCAGTATTCTTCGACCACTTTTTTCTACACCCATCATGAGTAACATCCCAATCATTGCCCTGATTTCAGTATAGTCTGTATTCTTGGCATCTCTTTGTCTTTGGTATTTTGTTTTTATTTTGTCGATATATATATTTGTACATCTTGTAATAATATCTATTGTCTCCTCATTAAAATATAATTCAAAACAAGAGATTGGAGTTTTGCAAGCTGAAGCGTCATTTTTGGGGCCACAAATACGACTACGAATGTTCGACGCTTGGGATCGGACGCTAGTTCTGTATGGTGTGGCCTGCCATTTAAGACCTGACTTAGATTTGTAAATCCTTAAATTGGCCAATGGAACATCCTCGTCTGAGCTTGACTCTGATAACGGCTGCAATGCAGATGGAGTATCTGGGATTATCTGTTCCCCTACATCGCTTTCTTGCTCCGACTCAGAATCGTGTCTTTCTTCTAAACAACAATCTTCTTCATCTTCGCTACTCGGCAGGTCCTCCAAATCATTCTCCTCCTCTTCGTCCGTCTCTTCCAACCATCTAGCTACACGTTGTGACTGTGCATCCATCTTAGCAGATAATCAGACAAACTTTACAAGATAAAATACCTAAAACAAGAAAAATCTCCAATTTAATTACGAAAATCATACCACCAATAAAGAAAAATAAAAACAGTAATATGAATTTAACAAATTTACACAGATTTTTAACATAATTATCTTGAAAATAATAAAAAAAAACATAATAAATACCAAATAAGCCGCGTACCACTAGTTACGTAATTACACGCGTGGGGCACAGGCGTGCCCCAAAGATGCATAAACACTTACACAGAGCACGTCCGAGCGCTGGCACAGTCGACGCGTCACTGACGCTCACGCGAAGATATATGCAACAGCTACTTAAAAAATCAAAATCCTGGCTGTTAAGTTTTGTGATTTACAGACAAAAATATGCAGCTGGGGCACGCCTGTGCCCCGCGCGTGTAACGGAGTGTTAAAAAAAAAATCTTTTGTCTCTCTTTCCGTCGTGTGTACTTAGATATGGCACAAATAATTCAATAAATGTCAGTAAAAACCAAGGAATTACTTTTCATCGGTTAATAAGATACTTAATCAATAAAAAAGTATTATAGATTAATAATAAAACAAATTATTCCTAAGACGCAATCTCGTGTCATGGAATATAGATTATGAAATTAATATGTTCAGATGCGACATTTCTGTAGGTACTTAAGTATAGGACGAATATATTAATATACACATTTTTTGTAGAAACATATATAAGTTATTATAATTAGGCTACATTTTTCATGTTTAAATCGGATTATTATTATTTTATTTTATTTTTAGAGCCTTGGTAGCTCAGTGGTTAACGCTCGCTGTAAATATAACAGAACGCGAGTAACCCGGGTTCGATACCCGCCGGCACCAATGAAATTGTTAATTGCAATTTTAAGTGCTGATTTACCACGTGCTCGGCGGTGAAGGAAAACATCGTGAGGAAACCTGCATGTCTGAGGAATAAGAAAAAAAAATATTTCGAAGACATGTGAAGTTCGTCAACACGAATTTGGACAGCGCGGCGGACACTTCCTTGCCCTATACCCTCTCAGAAATGAGGGGAGGCCTGAGCCCAGCAGTGGGACGTATATAGGCTGTAACTTTACTTTTTTTTTACTTTATTTTTAGGTATCGACATCAAAGTCAAAGTGGAATAAATTCGTCCATTTTTAACTCTTGCGTGCCCAGCACTTATGAACGACTCTTATTCTAATTTAAATAAATATATTTATAATTTAAATGTTATGTTAATAAGTTTTGTTAAACGTACATTTAGTAGGTTTTTTTATATTTGACATGGATACCTTTTAAAATATTCAGATAAAAATATTATTAAAATGTAATTGTGATATAATTTTATGTAATATTATATTAAATAAGCAAATATAATATACAAAATAAATGACAAAATTTAAATATTGTTCTCGATATAATTTACCTATTTAACAATACAATCTACTATTACCTACGGATCATCCTACCTATATTTATTCTATGATAAAAAAAACAACGGTGCGAACACAGAGTAGCGCACATTTTTTGTTTGAGATAGCTGTTCTAGTACGTAAGTAAGTATTACTTCAATGATTATAGGCAAGGAACTCGACAACCCTATTAAATTTTATTGTTTATCAAAACTCAGTAATATACACCCAAACATGTTGGTATATATGATATTAAGATTAGTAACAAATTTTTAAGTACTTATATTATCAAATAGTTTTAATGTATTTAATATTAAGTATAATACGTATACGTAATAATTAAGTATTTAATTTTATATTTATCACAATAATGTATGAATAGGACTGTTACTTCAATTTACTTAAATTTTTTCACGAGAACTTAAAATATCTATGTGCTTACTTATGTATTGAATACCAATTTTAAAACACTAAACTGTGTTACCTAAACAATTTTTAAGAAAACTTGCAAAATTCTTATGCCGCGGTCAGGATTCGAACTGATAGCGAAGGTCGCAGCTTTAAATCCTGCTCGCGCCATATGAATTTTGCAAGTTTTCTTTAAAAAAAAATCTCTTTTATATAATATTATATCCTTTAAAGGAAACCTTGAAAAAAGATTTTTCCTCTTCGCCCAATTATAGGATTAGGTAACTTACACAATGTCATCTAGATGTCTGAGCTCACAAACGTCAGGTACATCAGGGTAAACAAATGCAGTATTATCATCATTGCCTCTAAAAGCACTTATTCTCACGTACTTTACCGTTGGTATTCCCTCATGGTTTACACTTGAAACTATTCCGACATAATGTTTTAAGCTTGATTTTGTTGACCAAAACCCATTGTCCTGTAACAACAGTACTGGTGGGCAGATCATCATAATCATCCGAATTATTTGTTTCTGTTTGTAAATCGTCATTTTGATAATTTTCCACATCATCTAAAATTTCTTTGTAGTTTTCTAGATCCTTTTCCTTATTATCTAACATATCTTCTAAATTTTCTAGATCACTTTCATCCATTAGTTCTAAGTCAGCATCACTTTCACTGGTTGAATAATAGTCTAGCTTTCTCTTTTTACTGTTTGCCGAAGTTTGTCTCTTTACGTTTTTTATATTACTTTTATTAGACTTTCTGCTTTTGTTGTTCTCTAATATTTTAACATTTGCAGTCTTTTTTTCCGCCTCCTTCAGTTGTCGTATTTTTTATTGCTTTATTTTTTCTCTTTACTAGTTTTTATATTTATGTCTTTTAATAATTTTTTTCTCCTATTTTTTTTATTCTTTCCTCTTTTTCTTTATTTCTTTTCATCTTTTCTTCTTCAGTATGTTTTTGCTTTTTAAATACTTCTTCACTTGTAATTACTTCGGCACCGCAAGCAACTTTTGTACGTTTGTCTTTGTTATGTGGTGACCCTGATTTTATTCTCTGAAGCAACAATTCTTCAAAAGTATACTTACACTTTACTTGACGATCATCTATAATAGTAATTTTTTTAGCATTGAAATCATTAGACTGTGTAGTTTCAGCAGTTTTGGCGTCAGAATGGTGTTTGTCTTTTACAGATAAGCATTTTTATCATGATCATTTACTTTTTTCAAACAGATGGAAATTAATGAAGGTAATGACGATGGAACACCGATACTTGTATTGCTCACGGGTGGAGTCTCAGTTTCATTCTTGGATAAATCTTTGGCCCATAAGGGGCCAGGAGTTGGCTGAGTACTTTGGTCTTGAGTTTGAGGTTCATTGGATTGGCAAAGCTGTTTTTTATATTTCGCAAGTTGGTCTGGGTGAAATTTTTCTTCTGGCACTGCTTTATTGTTAAAAGGATAAATACCAGCTTTGCGAAACCCAGCAACACAAACTTTAGGATCTACTTGAGCCCAAATTTCGCCAATAATCTTTGAGAAGTCTTTTTTGGCATCACTTCACCCACATGCAATCTTTGCCACTTTACAAGGGCCTGATCCCACTTGTCCTTAACAGACTTATTTACTGCCAAATCTAGCGGCTGTAGATTGTCGCTGGTGTGTGCTGGGATTTTCAAAATAGTGATGTCCGCTTCACGTGCTTTTTCTATTATGTTTAATCCTACATGGGTTGAGTGGCCATCATATATTAGTAATATCGGTCGTTTTTGACCCACTGTCGGCAAAAACACTTTTTCAAAAAAATCTCTCAAATACATCGGTTTCCATCCAACCATTCTTGGTCGCTGCATACCTAGTCCCAGGATAGTCATCCTTAGTCATCCACTGGTCCCAAATGTCTTTCCCTTTATAAACAATTAGTGGGGGAGTTTTGTCTCCAGCGGCACTAATTCCCAGTAAAACCGTAGTGTTGCTTTTGCCAGGTGATGCAATAGTTCTAGTAGAAGCATATCCTTTCAAACCCACTACTTTGGTTTTACTGGGGTCTTTGCAAAAACTCGTTTCGTCTAAGTTCCATATCTGTGAAGATTTATCATGTAATTCCAATTCGGCCATTGTTTTTTCAGCAAATCATAATAGGAGTATATGATCCAAGGATTGCAGGCCTTTTTCCGAGAATTTTCCACGGCTTGTGGTTTTTTGACGGCCAAATTGTGTCGTTTTTTGAAAGCCAAAAACCAGTCTTCTCCTGGGATGCCGTTTTTAAAAGGATTTTTTATGTTGTTTTTTGTTACATAGTGTCCAACAAGCTCCATTATTTCTGTTCTTAGCAGTTCTTAGCGTGGAAACGACGGCTGATAGAGAGGAATGGAAGAGAAAGACATACTGCGCCGACCCCAAATAATGGGAAAAGGGCAAGCGAATGATGACTTGTGTATATGCAGAGAGATAGCAATATTAGGAACCATCCAAACGTCAAACCAATTTGTAAAAATAAGTACCGTGGATAATAATTTTTAAAAATATAGTTCCTAAAAAAATGTTGCAACACATGACTTGGGGCAAGACTACTATATGTTAGTCTAGCTCTAGCCCCAGGTGGACTGGTAGTCTTACCCCACCTCGCGATTTAGAGGTTATGTATTTGTTTTTATCAATATTTTTTAAATCAATTGGTTTTACGTTGTACCAATATCATTACTTAAAAGCTAGTATTATTGCAATTATACTTACGTATGTAAGGTTTCAAATTCACCACTTTTTCACACGAAAATTTTATTATTATCACTAAACGCCGACCTCGTGGCTTCCTCAAATGTCAACTTAGATTTGTGTCATGTTCACCATTTTTACGTAAAGTAGCGACATCTGTGTTTTGAGCCAAGAACTTTTTGAGTGTTTCCTACTTTACTAGCATGACAAACTAGAGTAGGAAGCTGTGTATAATGAGTTATTACACTATGATAGTCTTCCCCCCGTGATTGTCTTACCCCATCCTACCTTATGTCAATTTTAATTTTCAAGACATCCTTTAGCGGCGCTTCAAATTGGCACAGTCATTTTGTATGGTATAGCCAGTCCAGCGTACTTGTAGATATAGAGGTCAGTGCATACGGTCCACTAGTAGTACTGGTTGTTCTTACCTAGTAATTGTTGACTACTACTTACGTATAAATGTTTAAATATTGTATAAATGTTTTATGCGGTTTTTTTTTCTTTTAAAAGTATTTCATAAAGTTACATATTACTATGTTACGTCAATTATGTATATTAGTAAATTTTAAATTAATTTACTTAAGTACCTTTTAAGCTTATGAATACAATTTATCTTCATGACATATTTTATTCTTTTCATTGGGATATAATTAAATACTTAATATTGATTAATTTTGGAGTTTTATTTTCATATCTAAAACCTTAGTGTAAGACCTCAAATTTGTTTGCTGCCCTTCCGATCACTGTAACACAAGTGCATGTCCTACGTTTTCCACGTACGCCTCTACTAACTAGCTAAACATCATTAGCTCTACACGCAGGAATGTTCCTAAATTGTTAAGATATGATACAACTAGCTTTTAACCTTGTCACTGTTTACTTTCAGGCTCCCTCTTATAAATTCATTACGAATTTTATCCATCCTTGTCACACCACACATCCATCTCAACATTCTCATTTCATTCACATGCAAACTTCTTTCATCCTTCTTCTTGACTTTTCCAAAAAACATATTTTATCCAGATATATATTTACATTGGGAGCAAATAACTTCTAAGTTGTAAATAAATGTATTACTTACGTACGTGAATCAGAAATATTTATGATTCAAAGAGTAACGTATATATAAGTGCTTATTTGTTACTTTGTGCTTTTGTTATATGTGCTAAACTTGCTATGTGCTAAACTTTTGTTATATGGCAGCGAAACCTGGGTATGCCAGAAGAAGCATAAAAGCAAGTTGAATGCAGTGGAGATGCGATCTCTTCGTAAAATGTGTGGCGTTACCATAGCCGACCGAAAGAGATTCGCAATATGGCAGGATTGAAAGATGACCTTATCACAAAAATTGATAGGGGCGTACTCCAATGGTTTGGGCACGTTGAACGAATGAGTGAAGACCGAATGGTGAAGAAAATATATAGAGCGAAAGTAAATATTAAAAGGTGTCGAGGTAGACCGAGACTAACTTTCGAAGACCATGTGAGCAAATTGCTCGAAGAGGGGAAGGTCAAGAGTACTCGGATACCTGAAATAAGCGAAAGAGGTATGTAAGGATTGTGACACTTGGCGATCTGTTCTCTCTGGCTACCCCGTTAGGGATTGTGCGTGAAGATAAGTAAGTAAGTAAGTAAGTAGCTATTAACCTGCGGCTTCGCCCGCATGGTCACTGGGAAATGAACTATCCATTGCTTTTTGAATTGAAAGAAAACTGAGTTTTATAGATTTGTCAGAGATGCAGCCATTAAAAGGAAACTGAGCAAAATTGATTCGTCAGCCTATTTAAATGTTTTGAAACGCAGCGTATAGGAAAGCATGAAAATAGCCTGTTTATTCCAAATGGAAATGGGATATTTTTTTAATTAAAGGAAACTGAGCAAAATTATGCGTCAGGGATGCAGACTTTTGAAAAGAAAGCTAAATTGATTCGTCAGAGATGAAGTTTTCTGAATTGAAAGGAAACTGAGCCAAATAAAAGATCCGTCAGAGATGCAGCCTTTTGAGTTGAAAGGAAACTGAGCTTAATAGGTCCGTCAGAGGTGCAGCATTTGGAATTGAAAAGAAACTGAGCTAAATAGGAAATTTTGAATTGAAAGGGAAGATCTGTGGGAATTTTGGAAAAAAAATTAACTGAACACTGTTTTAAGACGCTACTGTACACAATGTTATATGTTTTTCCATTCGGGGAAAGAATGTGGATATTCTGGGCATTTGACACACGCGAACATGCTACATACAGCTAACCATGAGAGAAGCACGGTTTTTCTAAGTTGACCCCCGCTACTTGTAACGTTTTCCCTTGCGCTTTATTGTCATTGCAAAACTGAGCTTAATAGGGAACTGCAACCTTTTGAATTGAAAAGGAAGATCTGTGGGAATTATAGGGATCCGTGGTATAATACCATTTTCACCTTTTCCTATGCCTGTCAAAATTGTAGCACCGATTATGTTCCGTCCAAGACGCAGCCTTGTTCGCAGCGTCGACTGGGACGCCTAATTTTAATTGAAGCTTATGTGAGGGCACACCTGACAACTCTAGAGAATTTAGAAACTCTGCGGGATATGAACTGCTCTGTTCTGTGTCCATAACTGTGTCTACTGACAAATACTCTGTTATTTCTCCTGCTACTTCGCTTAATATATCTGAATTTATTTTGTTAACGCTCTCATTTTTTGGTGCAAGAATCGTCCTTTCACATAACCGTTTTTCTTCATGCATGTTGTTCACTAAATCTGAATAAACGCTCGCAATTAATTCGGATTGACTCTGTACTAAATTACAAAAATCTCTCGTCAATTTAACGCAGCCCTCAGCATCTGTTTCCAACCGCCCATCGCCAATTTTTAATAGTGTTTCAGCTTAGTTTCCAGCATTGATATCATTATACAAATGCACTCTCATATTCGTAGTTAAACTGAATTTTGTCACCTTGTTCCATAAAATAGACGACTTGAGGCATGCTTTAATTTCATCTGCAGGTGTGCCCTTTTGAATGACAGGTAACGTTTGGCGAAAGTCACCAGCCAGTAAAACCACCATTCCTCCCATTACATCGGTATTGCTGCGCAAATCCTGGAGCGTCCGATTTAGTGCTTCTACAGCTTTTTTATGCGACATTGTACTTTTGTCCCACACTAAAAGTTTGCATTGTCGTAGCATTATACCTCGTGCACTATTTTTGCTAAAGTTGCAGATCGGCGATTCTTCCTGGGCTAGATTTAGAGGGAGTTTTAAAACAGAATGTGCAGTGCGGCCCCCGCTTAGCAGCGTGGCAGCTATACCGGAGGAAGCTACGGCCACAGCAATGTTTTTATCTTTCCGTACTTGCGCTAATAATAAATTTAACAAAAATGTCTTCCCAGTTCCTCCAGGGGCATCTAAAAGGAAAAGTGCACCATTTCCAGATTCAATTTGTCCTAATACTTTGTCAAAAACTTGTTTTTGTTCGGGAAGCAAGCGGGGTACAAATTCAGCTACTTGCTGCAAAGCTGGTATATCGTAGTTTGTTTCACGTATAATTTCATCACTTAGTTCATTTTCGGTTGTTCGCTGAGGGCATATCATTCCAAAGTCGCTTAATTTTTTGCCTACTATTGCCATTACTTTATCTTCAATTTTTCCAAGTGATTCATTATAAATGTGTTCATTGTATGTCATGTTCGCGTGTGTCTGCTGTAACCTTCGCAAAATATCTTCCGCCATGTACTCTTTATATTTGTCCCACAATTCATGTGCATTAGATAGTCCGCAAGATGATATGAGAGTTGCATAAAGATCCCTAATTTTGGCTGGTGACTTGCACTGCACAGCTTCCTCCATAGTTTCATCCCACTGATTATCGTTTTCTAAAAGATGCAGAGCTTCACATGCTTCTCTATAAGTTGCGCATTCATGACCGTTGACAGTTTTAAGGTCTTTATATCCTGTAGAACCCCGAACATGGTGCAGCAGCAATCGTAAACAGAAACATTCAAAATTAGTTAAGGGCATCTGATGACTTTACACCGGGCCAATTTGCAACAGGCGAGCCTTGAATACGGCGTTTCCACTCCTTCCTAGATGTGTTCCAAGTATAATAGCGGGGGACTTCAGAATATAACAACGTTTTTGCAAAGGGGTCGGTTTGACAAAGTTGAAAGAAGGCTGTTTGTGTAGTTGTTGGCGGTGATGCTATTCTTTCTTGGAAATTTCTTTCGGTGAAATATACACGGTCTCCATTTTCTAAGTGCACAGCAAGGTGAGTAACTGTTGGGTGCCTTTCGTGTACAGGGAAGCCAAGGAGACGCCACGCTGCCTCGTTACTGCTAACATAACGGCCTGCTTGAAAGGTCTGTACTCCATTAACAGGATTTGCCTCACCTTCACTCCTGAGATTAAATATTACTTTATTTATGTACTT